ACGGCTGTGTATCCGACAACCTCAACTATAGAAAACTTGTGTTAAAAAGATCCGGAAAATAGCCCGAAGAAAAGCCCCAACGGCAAGTTGGTTCATTGGGTTGGTACTCACATATTCCTCCGAATATAAAAGCAATGAAGAACCAAGTTCGACCACGCAGCATTTGCCAACAATGCAGGACGGTTGAGATCCCGAATAGCACAATCGATACCACGGCCGCTGGCACTGACGGTATGTAGTCATACGATCCCATATACTTGACTTCCACCATTTTGCCTTTGAGTTTGTCGTCCAGATCAAGAAAATCAACTAAATGGCAAATTTAAGTAGGGCTCGCGCACAGCACTGGACGATTATATATCGCTATATTTCAAGAGTTTCCGGAATCAATTCTAAACGTTGACGCCTATTATATTTTTGGATAGAGACTCAAGACATCTGAGAAACGCTATAGAGTTTGTACGACGTTCCCGGCTGGAGTTGTCGTTTCATTGTCTCCGAAGTGCGCGTTGGACGTGCCCGGTTCAACTTGCCGATACACGTGAAAACGTCCTTCTGCCCTCCGAGAGATCGTTTCCTCGCCTCTGAGGGAACACCAGGATCTGATCGGCGGAGGTGGGTCAGGCTTTGGTCTATCAAGGGTCATGATAGACCAAGATCCTACCCACCATCGGTGGCCTCAATCTCGTCGATCTAGATATTGATTATCCCACAGGACCGGGATGGTGACTTGATCGAGGTCACTGGGATGAGATGAGTTGTTCCAAGAGATGATGCCGGACACCCGCTGTAACCCTGGAAACCTACTCTGCTGACACGTGCCTCTGAATAGAGATGTGCACTCTTTCGAAAGCATGCTCGTTTCTTGATAAGCAGGTTACCAATCTGAAGGGGGAACTGAAGCTAAATGGATGGTTGCATCAGGATCAAAAACCCAGTAGTCTGGATCAAGATACGGGAAGAACCTCATAGTTTGTTCGAATGACCCGCTAAAAGGCTTTCCTATTTGGTGGGTACTTTGCCTTTTGGTGTCGAACTGAGGACAATTCCCATGTCTGCAGGACCAGGATCCGTTTAGGACAAGTGCAATTTGGATCCAGTTCAAATCACGTAGGAGTCCGGGGATATTGTTGCTAAAGTCCATATGGAAGATGGAATTAGACTGCCATTTCCGTGCACTGGCCAACAAAACCGTAAGTAGGATCCATAATCCTAAATAAGTCCGAAGAGTAATGCAAAGAGGATGGCATGTAGCGCATAAGAGAGGTTGTCGAATTGAAGCTTTTCCAAGATGAAAGATTTATCTCTTATCAAACCTGCCCCACATCAACCTCATCTCCTCAGTCCAACTGCACCTGCGACGGCGTATACGGCGTATTTGTAGGGGACTTGCGATAACCCGCGTCCAGTCAAAACATCCAACGCCAAGGAATCTTCCGCGACGCTCCCCCGAAACCCAAACCGCGTCTTCGAACGCAACGTGAACGTGCGAAGTCGTGTCATTTCTTGTCACTTCTAGCCCTACCAGAATCGCAGAAGCCAAAAAAAATGGCCTGGCTCCAGCAAACACCAGGCTCTGGCGGTCGCGCCGGGTCCCCAACAGTCTTCGAGCAGCAGCGTGAGGAACTCGTCCGAGAGATCGCAGTGGTATGTACCGTGTCCACGCACTCCCTCGCACTCGGGAACTCTTATCAGCCGCCGCAGCCGATGTTAATTATTCGAGCAGGGCATGGAGCAAGTACTTCAAAACATGAACCGTCTGAATCGGAATCTGGAGAGTGTTATTGCGGTGAGTTTCAGCACCGGGCGGAGAAAGCGCAGCTGCTAATGGTATTAATAAGGTGGGAAATGAATTTGGGTCTGTGGAAGCTCTCTGGTCCCAGTTTGAGAACTTTATGGGCCGGCCTGAAGAACAAGGCGAGGAGACTGGCAATGGCAACGAAAAGCGGAAGGTTAGTGGGGAGAGTGATGCGAGTAAGTCCGGAGTGAAGCGTGAAAACAATGAGGGTGACTCGACAGTCATGCAGTGATGGTTTACATTTGGGTCTGCATTGACGGGTTTCGGCGTCGGGCTGTTTTACTTTACTCTTTTACTTTCTTAGATACCATTTAAAAATTCGGGATACATTTACGACCTGGGAAAGATATACGAATCCTACGGGGAAGACATTGATAAACACAAAAGGTCATAGGACATCGCTTTCGCCAACAGAACATATCAGATAACATAATCGAGAACACCACTCCCATGCATGCCAATGGAAAACGGCAAAGACCCGAGTCATGAGAGACATCAAATGGAACAAGGGGGACAAGGGTCGTGAAAAGGGCCAAAAATAACATAAGCAGGGAACAAACGTGAAAGTAGAAGAAACAGCCTCCAGCAAAATAAAAAGAATCGAGATCATCGTAAGGGCCGCACAGCGTATCGATACAACAGAGAAGGATTTGGAAAGTCATGTCTAGCTTTGTCCAGCTTGCGGCGACATGTCACATACACAGGCGAGCGGGAAAGCAAGCCGACGAAGCAACCAGGCTTGTGGTCCGGCCAAGAGAGAAAGGAAGGTGTAAGGGTGTCGAGAATGGAAGAAAACACCGGTGTAGAATCAATCTACAGGATCTTGCAAGTGCGCTTCTTAATCTTCTTGCCGGGGCGAGGGCCTCCACCTCCGGACGGCATGGCGCTGGCCCGATTGTTGCGGTTATTACGGCCGGTCGATTGCTGGGCTGTCCATCCTTGTTCTTCGATTGTGATGGCCTCGTCAACGGCCTTGGCGAAGACTTCGTCCACACCGCGCATCTCCTTGCTGCTGCATTCGGCGTATGTTGCTCCCATCCGCTGGGCGACATTTTCGCCTTGCTCTGGTGTGATCGGTGTCAGGCCTTGTGTCTTGAGGAGTTCAATACAGGTTCGCTTATTGCGCAAGTCGGACTTTAAGCCAACGAGAATAATGGGTGTGGTGGGACAGAAGTGCAGGACCTCGGGATACCACTAGACAGAGAGATGTTAGAAAACGTCGAGTCAAAAACAAAGGGATTCCAGGTCTAAGACTTACCTTGTCAACAACATTCTCCAACGATGCGGGGCAGTCGATAGCAAAGCAGACGAACAGAAGATCAGTCTCGGGATAGGACAGTGGACGCAAACGGTCATATTCCTCCTGTCCAGCAGTATCCCAGAGGGCTAATTCAACGGTCTTGCCAGAAGCCCGATGCGTCGTTTGGGTAATATAGTTCTCGAACACCGTGGGGACATATTTCTAGATAATCATCAGCACCAGGGACACATCTTTCCTTGCAGGCTGAACGTACCTCTGGGAAGTAACCTTGGGAATAACTGATCAACAAACAGGTCTTGCCACATCCACCATCGCCCACCACTACAAACTTTTTTGAGAATGAGGGCGGCTGAGTGATATTTGTTGCCTCCGACATCCGTCCACTGGAGACACTGGTATTGGTGCTGGCTGTACCGTGGCTGACTCGGACGCTGTCGCTGCGCGTACGACTGTGACGCGGTGTCAAAGATGGAGGAGGGGTGGCGAGAGAGCGGCGACGCGATGCTGCATAGTATTGGTCTTCGTACATAGCACTCATGATGAGTAGGGGTAGGTGGAGTGTTGTGATGTGATACAGGGAAAAACGAGATATGTTGAAGTTTGATAAAATGAGATGAGATGTAAGAAGAGAAAAGAGGAGAAGATAGATCTAAAAAAGATCTAGAGGATCGATAGAGCAAGAGGGTCTGGCTCGACCCGTGAGACCTGTGAAAGCCGTGTTTACACCGGGGCTACCATAGCAACGGCCGTGCCTCCATGACGCCAGGGCTCCGCTTCCCACGATCAAAGGCCTCGATATCCTGGATTCTGTCACTTACTGGTTTATTCTCGATCCTGTTTTGGTTTTCGACTCCACTAATATATTCTTATTCTCCACCGTTCAGCTCACTGTGTTCATCCACCTGTGTATCTTGGTGGTAGTATACAGTTTACCCAGAGTCATGTGATTTGTAGATATTGCAAATATGACGAGTCACTTTCTTTTCTATATAGTCATAAGCTACTCCGTACTCTAGGTTATATCTTGTGTGAGACTCAGATGGAGAAGGGTTGGAAGTCCGAGTATCTCATTCGAGATCGAGTAGCCAATATAAAATAAAAATAAAAATACAATGGGCTTTGACGCTAACTTCTGCATGTCATCTTTATTTGACGGAGAAGACCGAGATCCCATGCTCATCAGCCTCCAAAATACGAGTTCACATCTCCCATATTTATTCTTCATTACTATTATGTATATTTTGGGCGGGTTTGTCTTTTTCTCTTCAAGGCGGCGTCAATTGCAATCCTATATCAACATTGAATCTTGGAGAGAGAAACAGGATCATTTCAACAGGAACTAAGACCCACATAGTATATATATACCTACCTAGGTAGCATCAGGTAAAACAAAAGAGTCCATGAACTATTTGATAGCCAGATAGTCCATTAAAATGTAGATCAGTACATCCATGGATGTATCGGCTTCACATGTATTTACCTTGGAAACTGTTTATTCGAGGACATACATTTGAGACATAGACCAAACATAAGTATGTGTTTTTCTCTGAACGGAATATAGATTTACATAAGTGAGAGTTTATCTCAAAATCAATTTACAGAATAGTAAAGATCGAAGTACAATATCTACAACCATGGCACTCCACGCCCTCCACGCCCTCCACGGGCCCGGCCCCAAGCAAAGTGACTAAGCACACACATGCCCAGGTGGGCATCAGGGGTCTGAGCCGCGGATGATCTCCCCGTCAACTTTGGAGGGTAAACCCCCATTTTTCAACCTCGAGTCTCTCAATTATATCATTTGCTTCGATCCAACTTCAATTCGCTCCTTATGTTCTGAACCCTAGAAGTCTCAACCCTCAAACGGACCGGCAGGCAGTGGCCTGTCCATCTATGGAATCCATCCGATTGCGACACCGTCTGAGTCGATAACACTGCACCATGGGCACGACCAAAAAGGACCAGCCCGATGCTGGTCTGAAGAGTCTGAATCACTGTATGCGATGGATTTCTTTTTGGTCCACCCCTGGTTAATCGCGATGTCCGCTAACCGTTGCTTGTGTGCGACATAGATTCGAACCGATTGCCCCTCTGGCGGTATTGGCCGCGACAACAGCTCATCCCATTGATCCGATATGAGACGCCGTATTTGGCTTGGGTACAGGAGAAAGTGCGCACGCCTACTTTTGACTCGTATTTCGCATTCACGGCCAACCTCGGCACCCATACGTTCTTCATGGTCTTCTTGCCCTTCCTCTTCTGGTGTGGTTCTCCCAGTATGGGTCGTGGGTACGTTTCTTCCCGGAGTTGAAGGTGCAAGTGGAAGTCTGTGGCTGACAGCTACAGATTGGTTCATATCTTAGCATCGGGCGTCTTTTGGAGCGGCTTCCTCAAGGACCTGCTGTGTCTTCCTCGCCCTCTGTCTCCCCCACTCCAGCGAATTACTATGTCCGGTTCTGCAGCACTGGAATATGGCTTCCCATCGACACACTCCACCAACGCTGTCTCCGTTGCGGTCTATGCTTTGGCCCTGCTTGGTTCACCCGATTCGACTCTCAGCGCGCAGGTCACCATCTTACTCCAAGCTGTCACCTATATCTACGTCGTGTCCATCGTATTGGGTCGACTGTATTGCGGAATGCATGGGTTGCTGGACTGTACTGTCGGGTGTGCTATTGGTGCAGCCATCGGGCTTGTACAGTTTCATTATGGACCTGCCTTTGAGGAATTCATTCTATCCGCTTCGCTGACGGAGATTTCCCTACTGGCGCTTCTTATTATATTCCTCGTTCGCGTCCATCCGGAGCCGGCTGATGATTGCCCATGCTTTGACGATAGTGTTGCATTTGCAGGAGTCATGCTAGGCGTGGATGTGTCTTCATGGCACTTCGCCGATATCTGGGTCGGCTATCCTTCTGGATCAATTCCCTATGACCTCGAGAGCGTGGGCTGGGTTAAAACTGTCATTCGTCTGGTCATGGGCGTCTTGTGCGTGTTTGCTTGGAGAACTGTAACAAAGCCCGCTCTGCTGCGCATTCTGCCACCTATATTCCGGGCCCTGGAGAAGCTCGGTCTTTTGCTCCCTCGACGTTTCTTCACCACCGCATCGTAAGTTCGGATGTACGTCCTGCTTGTGGACATTATGCTGACCTGTGCCCAGTAAATACACCACAGTTCCCTCTAACCTAAATGATCATGACGTTCTTCCAAACTTTTCTGACATCCCAGACATAATTACCACAATGCGCCATCCTCGCCGCCGAGCCATTTCAATTGGTCCTCAGTCAGAAGCTGATGCGTATGAAACTCTGGCGTACCGAGAAAAGCGCCGACGCGAGAGTCAATCTGGGAGCAACCGTCCTTCTCCAGTCGCAGAGGATCAAACCAAGCCCAATGGAACGCCCGTGCGGTCGAGAAAGACGGCATCACTGGACGATTACGAAGGCATGATGGGAAGAGGAAGCCCCAGTTCATCGGCAGTAGATGTGAATCTCGACATGCCGACAACACCTTTCCCTCGCTAGATTTCCAGGCTGGGGAGCGGGATGAAAAAGAAGTGTTCTCCCAGATCAAGAAGCCTCGTGTGCGGTACGACGTGGAGGTAGTGACAAAACTGGTTGTATATGCAGGTATGTGAAACCCCTGGATCTTGGCACAATCTTTGCTGATATCAATCACCTTTAGGTATTCCATGGGTGGTCATCGAGGTTGCACCCCTGTTATTCGACCTAGTCGGACTTGGAACCCAATAACGAGGATGAGAAGCGTGTTCATAGAAGTGCGATTCGCCTTCCCTCTCTTCCTACACCCACAAACTCCTCGGCCTGCTCCTAGCTCAGCCGGCTGTGCTGGAACAGATCACCTTAGAGATAAGATATTCTTTCCGTTGTCCTTGTACATAAGCATTGAAAGCAATATCCATAGGTGCATTCTTCGGTCTTGTCAGACATCCTGGTCAAACACAGGTATGGGACCAGCGGCATAAACCATGACATAGAATACGTTAAAAGAAACACAACAAAAGGCGATCAATTAAAGAGGGGCAATCGCAACTTTCTCTTTGAGGTTGCTTATTGTGATGGCTGTTTATAGTGTTCGCCACAAGACAACTATTAGATGAAACATCAAAGGACATGAAACCATATTAAAAGGAAAATATATCTAGCAGAATTTAAAGGATGATATTCAAAGAAACTCTCCTCGAAAAAGTTATGCAGACAAAGAGTGACATGTACAGCCATGTAGGTCACGTAGGTCCATACAACAACAATGGACGCTGAGCTGGGGGAATATGTGATGAGTCAGCAGACTGATGAAAGAACCCGCACCGCGTCGGCTCATATTGTTCCCATACCTCTTCCTCTGCGGAGTATCTGCCTCGATTCTGGGTTCGGGATAGATATTCCAGTCATGCCCAATAATGGATCTTGAAGTCTCGTCTTTATCTACCCGCTCATTCCTCCCTTTCCACTTTTCCAACGTTCATTCAACCTCCGTCAATCTACTTGAAGGCGCGTCATCGGACGAGTAGATCGCTCTCGACTTCCTTGCCCCGGCTGGTTCGGCGTGAATTTCCGTTTCGCAGCAACATGGGGTTCTTCCGCTGGCCTCGGTGCAAGCGACGCGCCTCCCCTGCAAAGCCCACGGTACCCACGGAGCCCTCGTTCAAGATCCCCAATCCCTTTGAGGCCTTGAAGCCTTCAAGTGACGCCCACGATGGTATGGCAGCCCCTCCTTGGAAATTCGAGTCGCAAATACTGACCTACAGCCTCTCCTTAGATAACTCTCAGTTGCCCATTCCAGGCGCTTTCCCGTCAACTCCTCCTGAATCACCTACCCTTGTTGTATCAGAAGGCGTGGCTATCGAGGAGGAAGATGTCCCACCGAAGGGGTGGGAATTTATGGACATAGATGCTCGCGCAACACCAGCACTTGTTACAGATCTCGGCACACATCTCCACCCTCGATTGCCGCCATACACTCCTCCCCCTCCGAGCGCTAGGCGCATTCCATCACCGAGACCAACTGAAGTCCCCAAGCCCGTCGAACATGATCTCATGGACATTGATGACCCATGGGATCAACAAGCTCAACAAGATGCAAGGATTCCCCATGGCCCTGTCTCCGCTGTACAGTTATTTTACGCCCACAGGAGGCCGATTCCTGCCAATCGCATTGCATCGTGGTACCAGGCGGAATTCGAAAGGCGCGAGAGAGAAAGATTAGCCAGGGAGCGAGACCTCCAACGTCCAACCAGAGTGAGACCAACCGGCCCACCCGTACGTCCGATTTCGCCTGAGTGGCTTGCCAGACTTCAAAGCGCCATGCAGAGTGCGCAAGGACAGGCCGTCGCCAGATCATTAGCCGGAGACGATTTGTACCAGCGGGATATCATCACATGCACTGTCCCTGAGGCCTGGCTCAATGACGAAATCATCAATGCCTACCTTGGTTTACTCATTCACTACCTCCGTGATTCGCGTGGAAACCTCGGGCCTGGCGATCGACCGCTCTTCCACGCCTTCAACACCTTCTTCTACTCCAACCTTCGTGATAAGGGATACCAGGCCGTGCAACGGTGGGCAAAGCGAGCCAAAATCGGTGGCGAGGGACTGCTTGATGTCGACACGGTTTTCATCCCTGTACATGAGAGAGCTCATTGGACCCTCATGGTTATTCGACCGGCCGAACGTGTAATTGAGTATTTCGATTCTCTAGGATCCCTCGGTCTTCACCAAGTGAAAAGTATCAAACAATGGCTTCGTGGCGAGCTCGGGCCAAAATACATAGATAAGGAGTGGACTCTCCTGCCATCGGCCTCTTCTCGGCAAGACAACGGAAGCGATTGTGGTGTCTTCCTCCTAACGAACGCCAAAGCAATTACCGTTGGAGTTGAACCAACATGTATTGGCCCAAGTCACATTCGACTCCTCCGCAAAAAGATTGTTGCTGAGCTCATTAACGGCGGTCTTCATGGCGAGTTTAACCCACAAGACAGAGCAACAGGAGCAGTGTTGCTCTAACCGAACACTGAAGACTGGTTCGCGTCTATGGCTACAGAAGCATCGCCTTTTCTTGTTGATCTCATGCATTGAATTCGGGGTTCTGTTCACCCTCCTACATAATCTCACATACCTCATCCATCGCCTGAGCACTTATCCACCATTATCCATATCAAGCACCACCATTAAGGCGTTTTCGGTCACCATTACACATTATCTGATATTTCGGCGCAAGAGGCGAACAACACGGAAAAGATGGAAAAAGGACCATGAATTTTCTATCGGCGCACTCTTTCTATGTGATGTTTTCAATGAATTTGAATGATACCCCACGCTCACCACCGCGGTGACTCAGTTGATACAAAAAAAGCCCCCTCTTGCGGACTTGTTTGATCATATTTCTTTGTTTTCCTCGTTCTCCTGGTTCTCCTGGTTCTCCTGCTTCCTTTAGTTTCCATAGCACCAGCTTTCTCTCCTGCAAGTGTAGAGTCATGTATTTCTATTGTATTGGTGTTATGCTCTTCACTTGGCCTCGGACTATACACGAGCAATTATTATCTAGTAGTAGTAGGAACATTGAGCTCTGGAGCTAACCCTGGAAGACTGCCCAGGCGGAGCACAGTCTGGTTAGTCACCCTGCTCTAACGGGGCCAGGTGACCTCAGCGACCCTAGGCCACTCACTAAGCAACCTGATCGAGCATGGTTCCTTTGAACCGCTTTGAGCTGCCAGGCTTCTCATTGCCTTTGAACTTTGACAACTAGAAGGACACTTGGCGCTTCCCAAATGCATTAGACTACAGAGAAATCGAATTCGGGGCTAGTCGGCGCACCGTCTATCAGGAAATCCTGATGATGCAAGCCATGGATTCAATCACCGAAAAGCCCGAGTGGCACCGCAAGGTGCATATGTACAATTAAACCGTCGCAGAGGTCATCCACTCACGCATACCAAGTTTTCGACGAGGAAATTACCACCAAATGGCGCGGATAACTCGCCGAAAGTGGCCATGCCAGCCCAAAAATGATCGATCCGATCACCAAAGAACTCCAATGGAAGGCGGATGCCTTTGTGAGAATAGGTTGCACGATCGCCTTTGACCCCGGGGTGGTGAAGTCAGATACCCAAATCGCACGCCTTGAAGGCTGCGGTCCAGCCACTAGAGAATGTCTTGGAAGGACAAAGGGATTACCATCCGGGGTCCGACGATAAAGTTGTGGATCTGGTGCACCCATCCTTGTTCCCGCTGGTCTATGGCCGAAGTCGCATCCTTCCGGATCAGACCATTGGAGTCGAATTGTATATAAGACGGTTGAATATGAGGGTACTGATTGGTATGAAATTGATATAACTAATGACCCCGAAGACCACACCGTTCAACTCCCCGAACCCGGTGATTCTGAAACCCCTTACCTACCAAATGACATGGTAGATCTACGCGAGGACTATGCTGAGAAGAGCTTGCAAGTCATTGTTAAGTTGGCAAATATTGAATTAACTCCTGAGAAGCCCGATTATGAGGGTGGCTCATGGCACATTGAGGGACAATTGGTGGGCGCCGTCCCTTGTTCTCTTTCCAATCTCTTCACTTCCTGAATTTCGAGAAAGGATCTATAAAACTAATGAAATATAGAACGAACACGTCTGTTCCACCGGCTATCTAGTATTACGACAGTGAGAACATCACCGAGCACCAGCGAGGCTTTCGACAGCGTTATGATATGGACAATATTCAATACATGGAATATCCCTAGGGACACCGCGAATACCTCTATCAGGTCTTTGGCTTTAACGAAAAGACCAGTAGTACTTCCGAACAAACCCGAGTCACCCAGGACTTGGGTAGCATTTCCACCCACAGGGCCGTCTTCTCACGTTCCCGAACACCCTCCAGCACCGCGTCTCTCCCTTTTCTCTGGCCGACAATACCAAGCCCGGCCATCGCAAGATCCTCGCGCTTTTTCTGGTCGATCCAAACCTACGAATAATCTCATCGGCAAATGTGCCTCCCCAGGATGAATTGTGGTGGAAGAGGAAGGAAGTTGTCGATCAACGCTTGGATGCCATGAGACTATTGAAGAAGCGAAGGATAACCGATTGAAGCTCATGGAGGAGAGAAAGGGCACTACCTTTGAGCAAAATATCCAATTTGAATTTGGGCAATTCAACTTATGTGAGCATTGAACGCTGTTTTTATGATTGTATTGCCACACCTAAGTACACGAAAAAGCCCTGGTTTGGAGAAGACTAATACTGTAAACATACTAGCAAATCTTGGTCGACATCTATTCAATGTTTTCTCTGATGAAACTTTCATTTTGGCCAGAATTAGAATACAGAACACTCCTGACAGTCAAAGCCAAGAGTCTCAAGGCAATATAAAGGAACCAAAATTGATAATAATACAAAGTCGGCCAGAAAATCCCCTAAAGTTCATCAATGTTGCATGGCCTCCGACAAAATCGATGAAGAGGCCTGTTTCTCCACTTGTTTCTTCTGCACTCGCGGCCCTGCCTACCTGGCTTGCACTTTTCTTCCTTCTTATCCGGCTCCAATGGGCCATTGCCAGAACCATTTGTTAGAAGCATCCTTTGGTGGCCGCCATGGTTCTGCGACAGAGGCCCATAAGGTCCTCTGAAAACATCGGAAGAACGGTTGTAAATCAGCTCGATGTATTCGATGCCCAGGTATATACTATCGCCTATTCTCATGTCGCCCGTCCAGAGTCCGCCGTTACTCCAAAGATTGAGAATAACCATGCTCTCTAAGTCAGGAACCCCGTACGATTTGGCATCCTGCATCTCGTCGTTGACATACCACCGTGACATGTCCGAGAGCCAGTCTAGGCGATGCGTGGACCACCTTGTCCATGGGACAGGTACTTCGGCAATGGTACTCGCACCGGGGATCTCCCGATCAGCGTCAAAATCGTAATCGGGCTGATTGGCATAGTGCACACGATGGGACGGGTCCCGCGTCAGAATTTCAATGTCCGATTCGCAGGTTGAGTCATGATAGGTGAAGATGCCAGCACAAGCACCGCTAGGTGGCCTGTCCCCATGCAGCGGAATCGTCCCGTTGTTAAAGGGGGCGACGCGATGTCGTTTTGGATCTCGCGGCGGCCATTCTTGATGCAGAGGGGGTTGCGACACGACGGAGCTCTCTGGCAATAAACGCAGCCTGACACGCAGCGAGCACCGGTAGATATTGCGTATGCGAGTCTCGATCTCCGCGGTGGAGGTGTATTCTGAGAAGCGGGTGGTGCGCAGGACAAGATACGTCGCACGGGGATCATCTTCGTCAGAGTCGTGGGTGAAAAAGACGTTGTGCTTGGAATTTACCATGAGGACCGGGGCTACGGGGGTGCTTCGGCGTTCCCAGTTCTGACTGCTCCAGTCTCTCTCGAAGGAGGTTTTGTAAAACGTCAGTGATCTGAGCTCCGAGTCCTTCTCATCATGGATCCCGGGCGAGACGGGCTCATTTTGCAGATCTTGGTCATTGCCCTCAGCATCATCATCCCAGTCCTCGTCGCCATAGTCAATGGGCTCTGACAGATTGAGATTGGCATGTTTCTTCAAATCCACAGCCCGGAAGTCCCACACCTTGTAGTGCTGGAAGTATCCCGGATCGGGTCCGGAGATCGTGTAGCAATCGCATCCGCGTGGACGTTTCTTGGTCGGTAACTGCGGCGGTGCTCTGTCAACTGATAGAGTGGACGCTACTGTGCCGAGATAGACCAAGGCCACCCCAAGGGACAAAGCATTGATCCTCATGGTGGCAGTAACAACCGTGAAGGATTTAAGATTTCGATGGTCCCCAAGTTAAGGTGAATTCGGAAGGTCTTTGTTTGGCTTGTTAGGAAGCCGCGTCGATCGTGATTTCCTCATCGGGTCGAGATATCACGTTCAGCAGAATCTGAGTAAATACGTCCGCATCCAAGCCTGATATTTCTTCTGGAAGGATGACTCTTGCTATAATTGACTGACAATTAGCTGTCCCTAGGTATCATACATTGTCTGGACGTGTGCCAAATTCGCCAACATCTTTTGATGTATCCCTTCATACAGAGATCGCTCATACCGCCGGCCCAGTCTCCGGGGCTGGTTCAAATAGATCTTTCTTCAATACCTCCAATACAAGGTTCTCATCGACATCTTGGAGATTCACTGAAGAACCGGGGAGCGCTTCATTTCCAGCCGCGTCGTCATCGCCACCCGTGGTAACAGACTGGCCTATCTCATCTGGCCCAGCCGTGCGAAGATAGTCTTCTTCCAGTATGAATTTGGAATTATCTTTGTCCGCAAACAGTGTCTCCGCTGAGTCTGGCAGTGCATAAATTGTAGGGAATTCTAGAACAGTCCGATTGCGCAGAACAGTATTGAGTGTTGAGGATTGCAGGAGAGGAGTTAAGACGGGTTTTTTACTTGTGGTTCGCGGACGGTGAAGGTAGAAGTAAAGACCACGGTGAGGAGCGAGGGTCTGGTTCGATGCTTTATCCGTTTGCTCAGCTGAGGCATCTGCTGGTTCCTTTTCTGAGTCTTTGGTCGGGGGCGGGGGTTTTGTATCTGCCTCAACCTTTGTCGTGACAGTATTACCGGGTGCAGCGACAGTTGTTTTAGGTGTGTCCAGATCTTCCTTCTTCTCGTCCTTCACTGGTTCGATAATTGACTCTTGATCCTTCGGTCGTGGGCAGCATCGGTTATAGGCTTCTGCGATAGAGCATGTATCAATGACAGAATCACGAATAGTCTTCACCCCATCAGCCGTAATCCACTCTATGGTCCAAGCAAGACGCTTATGCCTTGAGAAACACGTGTGTCAGTACAACGTCTGAATCGGAAAGGTAGGAGAAATTCCCGACTCACTTGGGGTGCAAACGCGACCCATTCTGCTTATTCCTCGACATCCCCTTTGGAGCCCGAAGAACTCTCACACCAGCATTTTCGGCACCGCGCAAGAACGCAGCCTCGCCCTTGGCAAGGCCCTGGTTCGGGTGCTTTCTTTTACGGCTAGCAGTCGGATGCGCCAAACCTTCGGGATTACCATCATCGGCCTGGACACCGCCCGAAATATCAATCCCGCGGTTATCGACTTCTCTCTCTGCGCGTTCGAGGGTACGCTCGATGCCCGTGATGAAATTAAAGTCACGGTCGAACGCGGATTCAGTGGTTAGTTCACTGCGCTTTAGATACGCGGCTGGATCGCGAACGCCAGAGCATTGCGACCAGAGTTTATGGCGACGTGTGCAGGGTAGAGAGCAGGTGCGTGTTGAGCAGCGTGGACAGCGGTATTTGGGAGGATTGGTATGGCTGTACGACACAGGTTAGATTCAAGGTATACCAGTATGTAATTGTTCATGAGCATACCATATTGAGCAGAGATCACTCAGCAAGGGATCTGAATCGGCCATCTTGGTTTGATTGTCTGGAGTTGGAGACTCGGAGATCCGATGGGAAATTTATTTGTCTTATCGATAACGGCCTGAGGCAGAAATCTGCAACTATACCAGCACCAACAACCTGTTTCTCCACGAGTCTACCTAGGTAGACGCCCCAAGGTTGGAATGAGCTCATATGTAGGCTTATTCATCTATAAATGGCCTAATTTCCCCCTCAAATGCGATCTTTTGCGGGGATACACCAGTCCCGTTCTCTGCAGATGATATCATCTGCGGATGTGATGATCAATCCTCGCTGCATTTCTAAGCTTCGGTGATAGCTTCCGGGCCGACGGCCATTATTTAGTTGTTCAGATTCCTTCATTCCATCCCCGACTTGCAAAAAGAATATATTCATATACATTCTAAATCAGATATGGCTTCCAAAGCACTCGCGGTCATTGCCGGCGTCGGCCCTGGCACGGTACGGTCTACGTCTTCACCCTCTGATTCCACATGACGCAGGATTGGCTGACAAAAGAGACAGGGCGCCTCAATTGCCAGGAAATTTGCAAAAAACATACTCCGTTGCAGTTCTGGGTCGAAACCCAGACAACTATAACCCAATCGTTCAAGAAATCAATTCCAGCGGCGGCCAGGCCATCGGCATCAGCGCCGACGTGTCCGACTCTAAGAGTGTCAATGCCGCATTCGATAAGATTCAAGCGCAGTATCCTTCCTCAAAGGTAGCTGCTGCTGTTTTCAATCCAGGTGGTGGCTTCGTAGTCAAGCCATTCCTCGAGCTAACGGAAGAAGATTACTCGATTGCACTCAAGTCCCAGGCGTACGTATTTGCTGTCTCGTGTACTCACTCGATCCACATTATTCTTACAGATCTTGCTAAATCTTTGGCTCCTATATCAGGCAGGGCGCCTTCAATTTTGCCCAACGGGCTATTCCGCTGCTCCTACAAGCTCGCGAATCGTCGGAGTATCCGCCCACACTGATCTTTACAGGAGCTACTGCTAGTCTTAAGGGTTCAGCTAAATTTGCTGCTTTTGCTTCGAGCAAGTTCGCCCTGCGTGCGCTAGCGCAGTCTCTTGCTCGTGAGTTTGGGCCGCAGGGCGTACATGTCTCGCATACTGTTATTGACGGTGTCATTGATATCCCACGTACCAAGGCCTGGGTATTTGAGCATGAAGATGCAAAATTAAGCCCGGACGCTGTAAGTCCAGCTCTATTGATTGCTTTATTTCGGACACTCACTTGTTATAGATTGCGGACTCATATTGGTATTTGCATACCCAGCCACGCACGACGTTTGCGTTTGAGTTGGACCTGCGACCTTATATTGAGAAGTGGTAGGAGACTTCTGGGGACTTTATTAGGTCTTATGGGGCATTGAACCTGATTAGTTGGCCTAGAAGAGCAGCATCCCGAGGTCTGCAGAACGAAGATAGTAAGAATGCATCATCACCACATGTGTCTATCTCATAGTAGAAGTATACTCGCCAAGCCAACACGAACAGCCAAAATCATATAGAGAAGCTGTCCTCACAGGTCTAGTAGCTAAGAGACTTGTCATTCTCTTGCCTGGACTTCGGGTGTAAGGTCGGGTGGATACCTGCCCGTTTTATACAGATGCTGAGTCAGCGTGTAACGTCACTTGCCATCTGGGGTCATTCCAGAAAACGGCACAGCCAAGCTCGGAGCTCTGACCTGTCACCTCAACCTTCCTCAACACTTGTCATTCTCACCATGAGCTCCGACGACGCCTCGCCGCAGGCAGGCCAGAAATACAACAACTCAGACGACTCGTCCCGAGCCCTCCCTGGTCACAACCCCGCGATCGCGAAATATAACAAGGTCCACTTCCGAAAAGAGTCAATTGTGAAGCCCGATCTTTTCACATTGTACTTTGGATTTTTCGGTACAGCAGCCTGGACGAGAAAGGTCGCGAGCACAGTGAATGAGCGAGTGGAGAACCACTACGTGCTAACAGCGCGACCCCCAACCCAAGATGAATTCGATGCAATTGTTGAGCACGGAACGCGATGCCTGTACCAAAGGCGGGTGGGTTTACCCGTAAGCTCATTCCTCGGAACAGCACTCCTGTACCGCCAAGCACGCAAGTCGCCAATGTTCCCCCGCAATCCCACGCCAGCAGCACTGTTTAGCATAGTGCGTCACATGTGGACCGATCCCAGCCTCAGGGGCAATATCGGATCTGCGGCATTCAAAATGCTCTTCATCGTAACTATCGGTAACATGGCATCGAGCGCTTACGCTGTTTCCAAAGATGCCATGAACATGTTGACGGACCCGCGACTGAAGGGGTTCATTGAGGACATGCGCAAGACAAAGCCTGAGGACGTGCGCAAGCGCAAGATGCAGGCCGCAAGCGAGCGCGTACGGAGTATACGCAGCGGTGAGCCAACCCTCGGCTCCCAGATGATCGGCCCGCCTGGTGGATATGCAGGCGGCAACGGGTACCAACAGGAGCAGCCATCTTACGATGCTCCCGCGCAGCCAAATTCCTACTCTGAATACGTGGGCTCAAATGATTCAGTCGGGAAACCTCAGTCTGTGTCATATGAGTCGTCTACACAGGAGTCGAATGGTGGTGCAGTCTGGGCGCGCGGCAGGAGCACTCAACCCGAGCAAAAATCGGCTTTGGATTTCATGGATGAGGACGATGCTAGCCCTACAGCTGCGGAATACCGCAATACAAACATTGATGGATCGCCAGCTGGCAGTGCTTGGGATCGGATCAGACGACAGAATGCCGGAGCACGCCCCCAGCCTCGACAGCAGCCCGGCATGTCACAGCCTCCACTGAACCCTTACTCTCTCTCTGCTGAATTTGGCCAGAGTGATCAAGAAAAGTATGACTCCACTCAGAAGACTGAAAGAGATCAAGCCCAGGCAGAGTTTGATCGGATGATTGAGGCGGAGAGGAACGTTGGCAACGAAAGCTCGCCTCGAAACCGAGGTTGGGGATCTTGAGGATCTTCCAGGGCCTTTTCTCTCTCTCTCTCTCCCCCTCTTTTTCTTTTTTAATTATCTTCGCATGTACAACTATGTCATCTCCAGCCTTTGAACAGCTACTTCTATATCACACCGTCTAGAAATAACTGATATTGTTATCATTAAGCCTTTGCAGGCATATATGTTTAGATAGGGTGACCCTGATCAAGAGAGCATGAGCAAGTGGACACAGGATTTTTTAAGGCATCGCTGTCTGCAATCTTGAAAAAGGGAAATATTGAAATCAGGACTAGGTGATTGTGCATTCAATCAACCCATAGGATTGGGGTTGATGACGGGATATGGTATTTGGAATATAACTTGGGGCATATAACTCGGAAAACGTCAATCAAGCAGAACGAGAGGGTATGAGCCCTTAAAACAGGGGTAATGTCAAGCATAAGCCAATGGGCAGTGAAAGCATAATGCGTGATGCGTGAAATCCAGAACATCGCAATTTCATGATAAAAACAAGAAATCTCAAAAAAGGGGGCTCACGATGCAAAAGAAGGGAAAGAAGAATAATAACAAAGATCAGCAAAAGATATATAAAAAAAGGAACACTCGTTCTTTCAGCCAGTCAAGCCCTAACGGGTGGCTAAACATAGTTCGGACCCGGCGCGACATAGCTCTGACTCGGCAGAACATAGTTCGAGTCCGACCCAGCAACTTGCGAGTTTAGACTCTCACGAGGGGCCATCTCCGCCTCATGAGCCTGCGTCCAAGGCTCGACACTGCGACTGTTGTTGCGCATACGAGTCAAGCTACGCAGCTTGTTCGTGAAGCTCTCGTTCGAGCTACGGTTTCGGCGATGGTCAAAGGACATCCGCTGACTATCCGACTGACGGGAATCCGTCCCCTGACCGTTTACATTGAGAGCCGGTGCCGCAGTCATGGCGCGAGGGAGAAGACGACCGAGATCTTCGTTGTTGTCGATGGCAATGTCGATTGTCGCCGAGGACTCGCGCGGCGAGACGGGCGTTGCGGAGATTGGGAATGGGGGTGGTGGAGGTGGGGTGTTGAGATGCTGCAGTTCGGGGAGGATGGGTGGAGGTGGCGGAGGGGGGATTGTCTCCTGCTGTGCTGAAGGTCCTCTCTGCATTGCTTGCTCGATGGTCTCTTCGATGCTCACTTGTACGTGAGGGGAGGTGCCGGAGATGTAGCTGCCTGAGCTGGTGCGGTTATGGCCCTTGGTGCGGCTGCGACTGCTGGACCGGCTCCGGGGGAGTGCTGGGTTAAAACGCGGGTGCATGGGGAGGTCGTTGGGCATCGAAGGGGCGTTGTACTGTCCTTCTGGTGCGGGGACAGACATCGATCGTCCGATTCTCTCGCCATCTCCTTGATACCGGGCATTACTGAGGAAGAGACTGTTGTCTGTGGGAATGGTGGGCACAGAAGGAGGTCGGTCTTCGTCTTGTCCGGTTCCTCCGTACTTGGGATGCCGCATGGCTCGAGAGTTGCCGGAAGCCCGCTGGGCATTCCGGAGCGTGAAGAGTTCGAGTCAGAACTGCTAGGATAGTCGGGAGAAGCTTTGCTTTGGGACGCCTTGTTTCGCGATGGTGCCCGTTGGAAGTATGAGCTTGTACCAGAGAAAGGCGGAGAAGCCTCGAGAGGACTTCTGGCGCTTTGCAACTCGCCCGGGAATGGGATGTTTGGTGCTGATGGATTGCGTGCGAGTGATAATCTTCGTGCTTCCAATTCAGCTGCGGCAATCTCTCTTCGCTTTCTCTCCGCCAGGCTGACAAATGGTGTCCTTGGGGACGTAAGATCTTGGAACTCATTGGCTGTCGAGCTTGGTTGCCCGTTGGAATACCCATTGGACGTGTTCTCCTGGCCAAAGACCTTGCTGCTCAACTGCTCCGGCACCGAGGCCTGCTGTGCCCAGGGGTCGGTTGTAGGCCCTGTCTGGATCACAGAAAGACTCTGCGAAGATTTGTGTCTTGTTTCCGGAGAACCGTCTCTTTTGGAAGCTGTTCCTTTCTCAGCGCGGCGTCGACTGGCACTTCGGTGGCGAGACCGCAGTCTCTTTTGGTTACCCTCGACAAGTCTCAAAGGATTATCAACATCCTGAGAAGATTCCTCGGTAGGATATGCCATAGGAAGAGGCGAGGATGGTGATCGAACGCTTGATCCTTGTCGGTCATTGCTGCGGCCTCGAATTGAGGCGTCTCGTTTGTCTGTACCGAGGCGGCTTGCAGTGTGTCGACTCGAAGAGCGCTGACGGTTCCGAGAACCTGGCCCTCTCACCTTGCTAGAACTTCTGGTGCGAGACTTCGACTTCCGTGTTTCGGCTGGCTTTTCAGACTCTTCGGTGTGGTATCGAGCCAACTCTTCAGGAGACATAGGCACCGGCGAGGAGGGGGAGCGCTTGGCGGGTTGAATGTATCGACGCTCACTCATACCGCGGGTATCTCGCGAAGTATCACGCGATCGATTGACTCTTGAGCTCTGGCTGGCAGTGTCGTCTGGGTTCCGTCTTCCGCGGCCCGGGGTATGTGGACGGAGCCTCCTCGCATGGTAGTTCGCTTCATCAAGGCTACTGATGTATTGGTCGACACTACGACCACTGACACTTGGGCTCCTAGCCGAAGCATAGCTATTAGCTGTCGAAGCGGTGCTTTTGGCGCTGGGAATCAAATCGGAGCGGTCCTGCGGATTTCGTTCACCTTCCAATGTCTCGATTTGGAGGCCGTCTGGCTTTCGATCCCGGGACCCGTTACGGTGATCATCATTTGTGAGGGCTTCGAATACGCCGGCAGCTGGAGATGGAAGCCCTTTGATTGCGGCAAACTTGTCTGTCCCTTGTATAGCAGTCTGGGGACTGGGCTTGACAGAGTCTAGACTGGGGGTGTATTTTGCGGCTGACAAAGTGAGAAGACCGCTGTTGCTCTCCTTCTCATCTTGACTCTGCTCATGTCCGCTCATTTCGTTTTCGGAGGTGGAGCTATACTCATTTTGGCTGTAAGAATTTGACCGTGAAAAGCTTGGAGGGTGCACATCCACTGGCGTCTCTCCTATCGAGGGTAGACGACGTCGATTGAAAGAAGGGGTATTTGTTCGAGAGGTCATTGCATGGTTCAGGCTTTGGATATTGTTCAGTTTATAAGAGCCAAATCCACCAGGAGACATTGCCGAGTCGGGAACCGCGGATTCAGCAATCGGGGTGATTCCGGGTGCATTTGTTGGCGTACGGTCATCGGACTTCAAGCCAGGGAACCGGAAACGCCCTGGCTGTGTGTCAAAGGAGGTAATGAGCTTCAGAGCCGGCGTTTTCACAGCAGGTTTCGAGTTAGATGTGGATCTTGGCCGGACGGGTGGTGGCATCATATTGGCCTGCGAAGGTTCGGGCGAGGTAACAGGAGACTTGGCGCGAATCATCTCTGCAAAAGATGAAGTCTGTTGGGCAGATGGAGATGCCCATGGTTCTGATGGTTCCGCTCCCGTGCACATGAAGCAGCGAATGGCGAGTTGTTGCTGGGAGTGGGTAACGACATGTTCTCCCCATCGACGAACGAGATAAGACTGCCGCTGCCAGTCCGACGGGAACAGGAGACATGTCATCAAGATAGCTTCCATGAAGTGATTACGAGAAACATAAACTTCAATGGCGTCGTTGCTGTCTCCGAGACCAAGCAATATCGCAGCCGAGGTGTGGATGTCTCCGAGCTCAAGCAGCTTCTGTACAAATGCCTGTCCGACCTTGTTTGCCTGGGCTTGGCCGCTCATCTGACTCAAAGCAAGAATCATCCAGTCAGAGGTTGTTACCTGCCCAGAGCTAAGCATCGAGGCCATTTCATCTGTGTCGTTCTCACCAAGCCATTGCGTTAGGAGAATAGCGCTTTGACTACCCACGGCGTGTCGGCTCACTAAGAATTGTCAAAAGAGGGCTCGAAATATAGAAGATACGGGGCAACACATACACTCATCTGTAATCAGATCTTGGATGTCTCCATCCCAGCCAAAAACCACGCTCAACATCTGCAGCCGAAGATCATCCGAAGTTAGATTCGTCTCATCGATAGGAGGCTGCTGTTTGTAAGGCACATCAATCAAGCGAGCCCGAGTGAACGGGAATAGATCCACAATGTTCTTGTCAGCAGGGCTGAGATGGACCTCATTCCGCAATCGCGATGCCGCCCTCGAACTTCTCACAGATGACATTGAGACTGAGGAGGGATACGCAAACGAAGCAGAAGCCTGTGGTGTATCACGACCAGCAGATGTCATCGAAAAAGTGGTAGTACTCTGACCAGAGCGACTCGGCGGAGAGAAGGGCCTCATATTATACTTCCCAGAGGACGCCTTTGAGCTCACCGATTCCGTCCGACTGCGCGATGAAGCAGGGCTTGTCAGATCCGCCCTCTGTCTAATACTTTCAATGCTGTTTGCGTCGAATGGCGTTCGTCTTGTCGCGCCTGGTGGTTCCCGGATATCAGGAGCATCTTGCAAGCGCCGTGGGGACATTGTTCGTGATCGACTGCCTTCCGCGGTGCCAGGCCGGGGATGATTGGAAGATGTTGCACATTTGCAACCATCGCCGGATTTTCCAGATCATACTGCTGGACTGAGTGCTGGGGCCCGATGGTAAATAGAGTCGCAGTAGGCCCGTAGTTTGCGATACCTCGAACACCGTCGATTGTGGGAATTGGATCGTAGGTAACATGTTTTGTTCGAACATCCCAAGACCATGTTTCCCTATAATCACATGTCAGCAAAACCCTAGTTATTCTTTCGAAGCGTTACACACCCTTCCAAATATTGCACCAATCTTCCATTCTTCGACCAGCCCATCCATTTGGGATCAGAGGAGTTTGAATCAGATCGTTTCAATACCCTAATCACTCGAGGTGACTCTTTCCCTGGTGGTTTTGCCACGCTCCAAACTCGTAGATCGCCATTCGATGACTGCGTTGCCAGCATGTCGGACTTCTGTTTCGACGAGGATGCATGCCAAGCCAAGGAAATAATTGGCGATGGTCCACGTGAAGTAGTCAGAGTGTGAAGAATGGTAAATTGAGGAAGTAAAGTCGCGATCAATATAGAACCATTTTGATATCTGAAACCTATTAGCGAGTGGTACTCTCAATCCTATTCCATCCCACATACCCAATTGCATAAGTACGACAATCTGTGGCTGGCGCAAGAGCTGTGATTGGGTCGAAAATGGTGCGCGCAGAGATGTGCTCGGAAGTGGGAGGTTCGAACAGGATCACCTCACCCTTGCCATTGCCTGTATCTGATCAGCAAATTTAAGATTTCGTAGGATATTTATGATAATTCTCTCACCGAATGCAACATGGCCATTACGCATCCACGAAGCTATTCGCAGATGGTCGAAAGAAGCAAACCGGGCAATCTCCGTTCCGGTGAAGATATCCCAGACAATCGCCGTCTGCCCTTCATCGTAACTGACAACCAATCTCCCCGCACCTCGCTCGCTGACATTATCGACCGATATGAAGACAATGTTTTCCTGATGACTCTGAAAACGTCGCTCGATTGCCAATGTATCATGATGCAAACATAGGATTGTTGAGCCCTGGGCATAGAGGAATAAGGACGCCGTCGAAGCGCAGGCCTCGAAGCGAGGCTGGACAGCTGGTGGTGCAGGTGCCATTGCTCTAACGGTCCTCGAGGGTCGCGATTCTGTCCCCAAGCTCCTATTCCGTGTCAATTCAACCATTATATTTGCCCAAAATGATGCATGTGACACGATTTGCGGGGAAATTGATTTTACTAGAGGGTTTGTCCCAGACAAAAGTCCCGAATGATATATAATCCAGAACAAGAGGGAAAATGAAGTGAGTCTAAACAAGATTGGGCCACTGACCTCTGTTTAAGCCAGGTAGATTGCTAATCGGCCACGACCCTGAGTACCAGTCAAGGTGTAAGACGGGGAATTCCAGGATATCTCAAGGCACATTTGGGTCAGGGAGATAATTAGCGCCTGACAAGGAATGTGACTGAAATTGAAATACTCCGTAGGCTCGCAAGATCCCCTATAAATGAAAAGAGGTGGCAAGATATGTAAGGAAATATGCGAGAAGGCGAGAAAGAAAGGAAGATGCAAGCCGTTGGAACAGGGGAGGGGAAAAAGAATAAAAAAATGAGAAATAGAGAAATAGAGAAATAAGATATTCAAGTGTGACACTTAGAAGGAAATTGGAATGACTTGCACGTTCATCACATAGAAGTGACGGAGGGGGCTTAAGTTTGTGACAGGATGTAAGACTCGGTTTCTATATGATATATACATATAAACAGGTTGCCCACAGAGTCATTAGTTGGAATCAAGAGCAACGATTCCCAAAAAGAGGAGAGCAGACATAAGTCGATCAAAATGAAAATACGGGAACTACTAAAGACTGGTTGGCGCTCGGGGGGATAACTGGGCGCTTTCATTTCCTGACTAGGACCATACATCTGTCCCGTTTCTAGAGTTACAGGAAAACCGGAGTATGACCCGGGATTAAAAGCACCACATTCGACACATTATTAGCGGAAACGGTGAGGTCGAGCCTTCTTGGTGGCTGGGTTATCCTGCGGGACTTGCACCAACGAGCATGCAGAACCCCAGTAAAGAAAAAGTTAACCTGGTTTAAATCAAATGCAGAGTTCCCGAATCACAAAGAATCCCTGGCCCTTGTAGCCTTAGTGTTCTGCACGTCGATCACTCGGAGGTAATCCAACCCGTCTTTATATAGTTGGAAGTATATAATAACCCTAAATAGCAACAACATTGACCAACTTGAACCAACTCGGTATATTTCCTCAAACTGCAAGGAACCGCCCAGTTTCCAAATCAAAATACATGCAAAATGAAAATAATAATGATAATAATGTGATCCGAGACAGTAATGTGATTGGGATGCTGTTGTTCTCAAGCTGCAGCTTCGTCACTTCACCGGGCCAATCACCATCTATCACTGCTGATCCCTCGGCGCGTACACAACCACCCCTCAGCCAATGCCTGCACTCATCCAGCCATTCCATAATAGTCTGCAATCGACTAGAAAGTGACCTAATTTGGTTCTATTGGCCTATAGCAGCCCTTTTCTTGTCTTGAATTCGGAGAAAAGACCGTTCAGAAGTTTCATGTTTAAACTAGTGTTTCCGATGTCTATCAATGATGATCTCGATTCCTTTTGTTTTTCTCTCTTTCTACCAAGCTCATCTATGAAGTGCGGAGTACTTCAAGGCGGTTCTGCACTTTGGTTCCTGTGATGTGACAGAAATGCAAAGATATGCAGTCATCCCTGCACAAAAAGGCACCGTCGAACATCCTGGAGCTTGGGCCCTTGTGATAGTATCGGGGGCACGCCAGCAGAGTTTTCAATCGAGCTTGCGTGAGAAAGGATTTCCATGTACGGAGTACTGGATGTACATTTTACTGCATCAATTCCGATCCTTGAAATAATACAAGTCACAAGAGCAGCCCTATATACATACTCCCGTACATAGTCAATGCGGGCCAAGGAAACCCAAAAATGCGCACCTACTGTTCATACTGCTGGAATTAAGAGGGTATATTCTACTCTGTATATCTCCAACTGTAGAGATATATTGAGAATCATTATATTCCTAATAATGCAGGAATACTGTTGGGCCAAGTGGAACGAACATGCCATGCGATGACCCGTTATCATATGATCGCGGGGGGGTCTTATCGCTTCCCCGGACCCTTGACTCATCCAACTTCCCCAGACATTCCAAGGTTGGGGCTTCGTGTCTATGAATTATCCCTATAAAGTCTTTGTTAAACCCTTGTGACAACTTTCCAACTCTCAGCATGTCCAAGGAGACAATCGTAGTGATCGGGTCAGTCCAACACTTCCACATATAAGATCCTCGAATCAATCCGCCCCCAAAAGATAATAAAAGAACGGATCACAAGACACAAAAATCAGCTGACAACCTCAACCAGAGCGGGCGTCATTGGCCTTTCCACCGCCCTATGCATCCAACAACACCTAACTCCTACGCAATCCATCCTACTCGTAGCCCGCGACTTCCCATCGGAAACTTCCGTCAACTACGCCTCACCGTGGGCAGGAGCCCACTACCGTCCAGTACCAGGCTCCTCACCACAGGCCCTGAGGGAGGCGGACCAAGCGCAGCGCACGTACGAGTTCCTGAAGTGGACTGCGGCCGCTGAGCCCGGCGCGGGCATCAACTTCGTCGAGGGCATTGAGCACCTCGAGGCTCCGCCACCGGAGTACCTGGATCACCAGAGCGTGCGCAATGTCTATTCACACCTGGATAAGTTCCAGGTTCTGGGGAAGAGGAGGTCCCGGCTGGCGTGGTGTGGGGTGTGAAGTACGGGACGTATGTGATCAACTCGCCTGTTTACTGTGCGCATTTGCTGCGCAAGTTTGTTCTCAAGGGAGGCGAGACGAGGCAATATACGCTTGCCAATTTGAAGGAGGCGTTTAGTATGGCGGAGAATGTGAAGACCGTGGTGAACTGCTCCGGAAGCGGGTTTGAGGACCCAAAGTCGTTTATTATCAGAGGTATGTATCTCTACGATAGGAGCCATAGTGATAGTTATGGTGGTTGTGTTTGGGATGCGCTCGAACGTGTATTCTTAATCTGTGTGTTGACATATTCTCTAGGTCAAACCTGTCTCGTCCGTAACCCCGTCTCGAAGACCATTACTCGACAGAATACGGATGGCTCATGGTCCTTCTGTATCCCGCGTCCCCTCGAAGGTGGAACCATTATTGGAGGCACGAAGGAGCCGAATAACTGGGACCCGAACCCGTCGCTGGAAACTAGGCAGCGCCTCCTTGCTAACGCAACCAAGTGGTTCCCTTTCACGCCAGAAAGTGGTGGCCAGTTCGATGTGATTCGCGATATTGTTGGTAGGCGGCCGGCTCGTGAGGGCGGTTTGCGCATCGAGGCGGAGAAGCTCGCTGATGATCGGTATATCGTTCATGGGTATGGTGCTGGTGGTCGCGGGTTTGAGTTGTCTCGTGGTGTTGCGGAAGACATCGTCGCCGCGATGCTCGAGAAGAGGCTGCTGCAGGCTAAAGCCTCGCTGTAAAACTATTTGTTGGCATTCAACGAGCGCATGGGTTGTTTTATATAGAGCATGTTGTACATATTTCTTAAGTTCATAGATCTTACAATGCCGTGCAATAGAACATAGAAGGCATCAGGTTCATTTGAATGAACGAACTTTTGCTACCGACAAAATAACGATGTGCTATCAAAAAGGTATATCGGCCGTTGAATCTTCTGTCACATGGGACACAAGACTCATCAAGCCTTTGCGCCCCCGTGGCTAGTCAGCCTTCACCTTTTCCTCTACGCATGACATTTGTAGTATATACGTATAGAGGTAGGAAGGAAAAAGCGACCAACCGAGCCCTCGGTGATGACCGAGGTTGCATACAAAGTCAGCAGTTTGGGCAAACAATTGTAGCGATCACTCGACATCGAGATCCGACCCCATAGCAACACAAAACAAACTTTCAGATTGCACGTGGCCGGGCGAGAAGGATCTTCAAGAGCCCACGAATCTAGTATCGTGAAGTTTTGTAGGGACTCAACCCACAGCTTGAGGTGTGACACCTCCGGGTATACTTGTGGGTAGAACTCCGCCATTGAGCTTGAGGAGACGTTCCTCTTCTTTCTGTTCACGCAGCCTCTCTGTCTCTCGCCGCATGACTGCCAAGTTCCAGGTTCCATTCTCATCCTCGCCCTCCTCGGGCTCACTATCCTCCTCAGCCCATTGGCCGCTCTCGAAGAGCGTACGACCAGTAGCTTCCTTAGCCTGCTGTGCTTGGGCCTCGGCGGCCTTCTTATCCATACGCTCCTTCTTCCACTTGGCAAAGGTCTCCTCATTGACGGGTGTCAGTGTGCCAGTCAGCTTGTGACGCTCGGAATCCAGCCAGTCCTCGAGGGTGAGAGTGTTTAAGGGCGATTTGTCCTTGAGGGCCTTCTCGGCGGCTCTCTGCTCTTTGGTCTTCAGAATGAATCTGCTCACGCGGTTAGTATTACGTACGAGACACACAAAAGTGGCGGCAAGACATACCCTGGTGGCAAGCTGTGCTTGTACATGCACTTATCTCCTCCGTTCGGACATGTCCAGAACCAACCGTACTTCTGGTTCTCGACTGCTTCGATGAAGTATTTGCACACCTTGTCGGTGGTTGTGCGCGGGTTGCCGTGTTTGCTCAGAACGACACTGCGTAGCTTCTCCTCGTCCCAGTCATCCATAGTATCCTTTTGCTTCTTCTCTTCTTCGGCGACCTTCTCATCACGACTGTCGGTGTACAAATCTTTCTTGGCTGCTTTGCGCTCGACATTGGGGTCGTGTGAGAATTTGCACTTCCGGCCCTTCTCACAGTGACCCTGCTTGAAGAAAATACAAAGGACAGTCTTCGGGTCAACACCGAAGGGAACCTTCTGGACCTGCACGGGCTTGAACAGCTCAAGGTTCTCTTTCCGGGCCCGCTCAGCGGCCGCCTTCTCAGCCTCACGCTTCTCCTTTTCGGCGGCCTTCTTCTTCTCGTCTAGGTTCTTGTTGCTTGCGGCTTGTGCTTGCAGCTGTTGGATCTGCTTCTTGGCGGCACCACCTTTTTTTCTATATTCAATGTTAGCACATGCTGGGGTATATCACGAGCGAACTCGCTTTTCTTCAAATCGAGGGTATGACGCACATTTTTCATACCAAAGGACTTATCCTCAACGGTGGCCTTCTTCTTCTTAGGCTGATCGCCCTTCTTGGGAGGCATGGTGACGGTTGGGCGGACGTGACGTCGCGGGTTCGGGGAAGAGTAAAAATGTGAAAATGCGCCTGTCTAAGGTGCGCCTCAGTTGGTGGCAAAGGGATAAAGAAAAAGACGCTGATGAAACCCGAAAGAATGACAGGGAGATGTGAAAAAGAAGATATCGAGTGGTGGGCAAGAATGCCAGGGTTGTTGTAAAGTGAAATGTTCTCGAAAACGAGGGGTGTGAGAAGTGTGACGGTAATTTTTGGTTAACCAATGACGGTGCGGGCCCTTTTTTTACTCCAGCATTGCCACGATTCGAGATGTACTAGGTAAGAGCTGAGATTACATATGTACATATGTATTTATATAGAAGATTCGATGTTTTACTATACAATCACTCTTTTCTCACTACATACATATGTACTTATCAAGTTCTGTTATTGTACAATATCCAATTTTGAGCATGTGCTCTTTAGTAACGTGCGTCATCTGCCCACTAATATTTGCCCTCGACACCCACAATAGGGCCCTCGCTATGGAAATATCAGTACGGCATTGGGGGAAAGAATGGAAGGTGTTTGAAATTGTTCTACGTACATTTTGAACTTCCTTATAGTCATGCATATATGAACTTCGCCTCCCACCAAATCCTAAAAGGATATCAAACAACACATACGATGTAGAGTACATAGTAAATGCACCTTATTGTGGGGAGAATATATCCAGGAGAACACCCTAAATAGAGATCACTTAATATGAAGTTGGTATTTGATCACGGTCTTCTAAGCACTAACGTGTCGTATCCATGGATATAACCCAGAAGGTTGATCGGCCTACCTAGGTAGTGGACAAGGTAAGATTTTGAGGCGCCTTCTAAATCACTTCATCTACAATATACAATTGTACCATGGATCACACCTGGGCAAAGCTACTTGATCACGTATATTACTCTACGTGAGAACCTGCAATGACCACTCATCACGCTTCATCAATCATTGGGATGTTTTCAATGAGATAGATCTACCATGTATAAAGGTTGGCCTTGGATCAAAGCTGCCTGGTCAAAATAGCCTCGCAGTCAATGGATGGTGAAAACCGAAGCAGATCCATATTTCAAAGCATCATCCTGTAGGCGTCTTATACACCTTCACTTTTCGTTTCTGGTCGTCATAGATTTCGCAGAAAGCAGGCATCTTACATTTAAGAAACCTCCTGGATCTTGGTAGACTTCTGGCCCTCGGCTTCTTCGAGCTCGGGGAGGTCCTCCTGCGGAGTCGTGTTAGTAGACAATCACCGATCACCTACAGGCGAGCAAACTTACATCATCTTCCTCGGCACCTTCAGCACCGGCCGCACCAGGCATGCCGCCCATACCGCCAGCCAGAGCGCTGAGGTCGGGCATGCCACCCGCACCACCCATGCCAGGCATACCGCCTAGCTTGGAGAAGTCGATGTTGCCTAGGCCACCGGCACCGGGGTCGCCACCCTCACCACCGAAACCGCCGAAGTTGTTGGCGTAGTCATCCTCGCCAGCCTCATCCTGCTCATCCTCGTCCACCCACTGCACCCGATTAGTCAAAATCCCATCATTTGAACAGACGCCCAAGCATACCTTGTCGAAGTTGGTCTTCAAGAAGTGCATCTTCTGCTTGCTCTCGAGAAGGCGGGGCCAGAACTCCTCCTTGAGCTCCTTCTTCCGGAGAACAAGCTCGACGTCGCGGTCGGTGTGGTTGACTTTGCTGTTCTCGGGATCGATCTCGGCAAAGAGGTCCAGAGAGACGCTGTATGTTACACCCTTCTTCGAAGGGCCCTTGAAAGAAACATTCTTCTCGGTGATGCTGAGGGTAGCATCGGCCTTGGGAACATCGGCGGCCTTGATGTTCACGTAAAGGTAGTTGCGCTCAGGATCCGAGTCGGATGAGCGCTGAGCCCATGTAACTGAAAAGTAATCACATGTCAGCGCCTTGATCTCACTTATAAAGGAAATTGTAGAATTGGCATAGTTAATGTTTCAAACAGTCTTAAGCAATGGATAACGTCATAGTAAATTCCAAGCAGAATGTGCAGTTCCGCGTTTGAGAGCGGGGAAGTAGTAGAATAGTCATAACATACCTTCGGGAGTCAAGGTCTGAGACATATTGAATTAGGTGTGGAAAGATAACTGGAAGAAATAAGGAAAGGGAGGAAGATCGAAAACGTGTCAAAGAGAGGAGAAGAAGTGTAAGAGAAGCTCATCCACGACCTACCTAAGTGCTATGTTGTAGAAACTGGTAGAAGCGTGCCTCAGGCACAAATTATGTGGGACATCGTATTACGTCAGAGCTGACTCAGTTTCCGCTCCCGGCCTGGACACTGAGCGTGGCACTCCCAGGTACCTCGGGAGCCTTGAATATTGATAGTCACATCAGTGTGTACTGATTTGAAGACTGAGCCAAAGACCTAACGATTCTAGCTCTCGAGAAGAGCCCCACCATAAAGTACTCCGAGGGGCTAAAACTACGCCAACATAGCCAACGAATTAGCCTTGCCCCGCCTATCTCTAAGACGAGATGCACCGGGCATGAGTTTAATCGCTGATCAAACCGACTGAACTCATTTGTTGAACCCTTTCCACGCCCTTGATTTGCCTGCTTATCTTTTCGTCGCCGCTTTCCCCTCCTATTACTACAATATTGCATTCATGGAGAGTCTCAAGGCGGTATTCTTTGGGCCCGACCCGCAAGCTCAGGTAGGCAGTTGGCGTGACTCGTTAATACCTGGAAATATGACACTGATGAAGAATAATCTGGCAGATGAGAAAATGTAATGCTTTAATACGCACAAACACACGGCAACTCGACCGCGATCTAGCCCGGCTAAAAGCCAGTGACAGCCAGACTCGCCAGCACATTGTCAATGCCTCTAAACGGGCCCAGCGAAACCCATCCCAGGCTAAGCAGGCTACCAATGACACCAAAGTCTTTGCAAGGGAGCTGGTGCGCATTCGGAAACAGACCGCACGGTTGAATACCAGCCGAGCTCAACTACAGAGTGTGGGAATGCAGGTCAATGAAGCCTTCTCGGCGCGCAAAATCCAAGGCAGTCTTCAAAAGTCAACTGGGATCATGAAGGACGTGAACACACTGGTCCGACTGCCCCAATTATCTGCGACCATGCAGCAGCTGTCTTCAGAATTAGTCAGGGCAGGCATTATCGAAGAGATGGTTGATGATGCTACCATGGACCCTTCGGTCTTTGAAGACGAGGAAGATGAAGCAGAATCAGAGATTGAGAAGATCCTTCAGGAAGTTTTGCAAGGAAAACTCGCTCAGGCACAACCCGTCACTGCACCGCCTGTGTCCAAAATCTCAGAGCCGGAATCTCCACAAGCCGAGGAGGAATTCGAAGACCAAGAAGCCACTCTCGCGCAGATGCGCGGCCGGTTGGAAGCTCTCAAGAGCTAGTATATATTGCGAACTCAGAGCGTTAATCTTGTTTATTTCTTATTGAGGAGTCTGTTCCACGACTCTCGTGTCTGGAGTTGGGTGCGTGTTTTTCCATAGTCTATTCTCTAAGGCTGGGCCTGTAGATAATGGGATTTCTGCTTGATTCGAAATAATAAAAATTATGCAGTCTCACCTCAATCTCATACACAATGGGACAATAAGTCAATCCAGACAAAACAAAGAGGGAGACAAAGATGAGTCAATAGGGACAAGAATCTCTCATTGGGGCTCAGTAGCACCCGTCCAATCAAATTGGTTGACATTGTTTGCGTTGGGCCCGCCAAAAAGGGCTTAGTGCGAAACCAGACCCGTCGACTTGCCCCCTCTCCTCACTCTTCCATATCCTTCCTCCTTTCAAGATTCATCCTTTTCAACTCCATCAACATACCCACTTCATCCCATTTGAGAATCTACCGTGATCTTAACTTCTTCTTTACACGCGACTTAAACACCTAGGTCGCATATCATTCACGACGCGTCCGTCCAGCGACTTTTGCTGAACCTGCAAATCGCCAGCTTTGCTATCCATCGCAGTCATGTCTGCCAACCTTGATAAGTCCCTTGATGATCTCGTCGGCAGCCGTCGTCAGACCGCTCGCCACACTCGTCGCCGTGCTGGTTCCCGCCGCGCTGCGACCAAGCCATCCACTGTTGGAGGTGTGAAGAAGTCCACCAAGGCTGCTACTCCCAAGGCTGCTCACCCAGCCCCTGTCGCCCAGACTGGTTCCAGCAAGATTCTTGTCAGCGGATTGGTAAGTTCTTGCTCTTTCTGACGTTCCTGCTTGTCCATGCGCTAATCTCCTCAGCCTTCCGATGTGTCCGAGGCCAATGTCAAGGTATGTTGATCTAAAGGCTCTCATATTGGCTTCCATCGCCATCTCTTTTCTCGAGAATCTTGCGGCGCAAACGATTTCGACCCGCCTTCCGACCTCTCTCTACCTCCTCCCGCATCGATGGATTTTCCTCGATGGACGGCACACAGTTTGCTTCTACATGTCTCTGCAAATATATACACATTGCTGGCGCTGCTGCGAGACAAGAAGTCAAACTGTGTTGTAGTACGGTGAAAGGATGTACATTGCTTGTGTCGATTCCCATACGGAAATCCACCCGCCTTGTTCTCTGAGTACTATGCCGAGGATGATTGATGAAAATTCATCATCCTGACCTCTCTTCAATTCCGCGCATTTCCTTCATGTCTTATACTTCGAGATCCATACGGGCATCAGCGAGCGCATCAGTGGAACAGCGGTCAACAGGTTCAGAGGGCAGACTGAAACCTATCTATACGAGGCTCTTGTCTCAAGCGTCTCTGTGAAGAGTCTTGCTGCTATGGGGTGATTACCTATTCCAGGGACTTAGAGAAGCTTGAACTGTTTGATATGGCCCTTGTTGGGAAGACATCCATGGGCAAATGGATTCCAGTTGACAAACTCTGCCGAGATAGCGGCGACATGGAAGAATGCTTTTGTTGAAGGACTTGTTCCTACCGCTTGATGGATGTATGGAGGAAGTGGACATTCCATACTTGCTATGGATATTTGTTGGCGTGTTAAGTTCCATTGCGGGGAGCAGATTTGCGACCTGTCGGACGAATTTGAATTTGCAATCATGGAGCTATATGTTCCAAGCCGCTAGGATATGGACGATGGATTGATGCTGTGTGCTCGCTGATGCTCTCTCACCTTTGGCCGTCCTCGTTTGCGCCGCCACTTTGCTTCCGACACCCGAGAACCGCGCTCTCACTGAAATTGTCTGACGAAAATACTGATCGTCTTTGTTTGCGCTATAGGAATACTTCAGCAAGTCTGCTGGCCCCGTCAGGCGGGTCATGCTCACCTACAACCAGAATGGCACTAGCCGTGGCATCGCCTCTATCCAGTTCAACAGGGCAGACACCGCTGCCAAGGCCACTAAGGAGCTCAACGGACTCCTCGTCGATGGCCGCCCCATGAAGGTAAATCCTATTGATCTGGCCAATCCTCCCTGCAGCATTGACTGACATGTAAAACTAGATCGAAGTTATCTATGATGCGTCTCACGTGCCCACTGCCCCTGCTCCTAAGCCTCTCACTGAGCGCATTGCGTAAGTTGATGTCCGTTCTATCTGCCAACATTCATATGCTTATCCATTCACAGTCAGAAGGCTCAGCCCAAGTCTGCCGCTGCCCCCAAGGCCAAGGACGACAAGAAGACTGCTACTGACAAGGGAAGCCGTCGCGGAAAGGGCCCTCGCTCTCGTGGCCGCAACGCTGGCCGTGGAAAGCCCAAGACTGTTGAGGAGCTTGATGCTGAGATGGTCGACTACTTCACCAACGATGCGCCCCCTGCTGAAGCTACTGCTCCCGTCAACGGCAATGTCCCACAGGCCAGCGCCAACCAAGACATCGGCATGGCTGATGAGATCTCCTAAACAGTTCAACTGTTACTTTCACTTTCCTCCATCGCGGCTCCTGTATGATACAGGTTTCGCAACATTCTCGGGAGTTCTTTATGGTTGATGCGCGGGTCATATCTCCTTTTGTGCTCCTTTGTTCTAGTTTTCTTCTTCTTTTTCTTTTTTTTTTCGCTGGCTGTGTTTCTCTACTCTTTTTCTTTTTCGTTTTGCCAGTACCAGCAGGCTTAATTCTTTCATATCTTTCCGCAGAAGCCGGTGGAGGAAAGCATGTATCTACACTCAACATGGAACATTACAAATGATAATCGATTTTCGAACAACCTTGGAATCCCTTCGAAATTTCAAAACCTCAGACTCCCTGCTAAAAGAGGATGCCATACCAGAACGCCGAATCCGACCCTTATATCCATCAAAGATCTACACAAATCTGCCACTAAAACACACCAGCTCTGGTCATGACATCATGAAACTGCTCCAAAGTAACCCCAGCACTCAATCCAGCACCCCCATTCCCTTCAAGAATCATATCCTTAAGCAGGTCATCGCCCACACTGTCCTCTTTCAAGTCGCGCGCAATGCGCCGCAGATGCGACAACGTAATGGGGCCATCTGTACCGCGCGTGAATAGCTGGTATGCATCGTCCACCTCGGCAGCCATGGCGTCATCATCGCGCGAGCGCAGCTTGGCTGCTGCTATTGAGATGAAGGGACTGTAGGGCACGTATCCGCTTAAAGTTGGATCGAGGGCGGAGAGGATCTCTGCGAGTTCGGTTGAGTCGGTTGGTGGGAGGCCGAGGGCGCTGTTGAAGGGAGAGTTGTTAGTATTTAGTAGTTGTAGCTTGGAAGTAAGTAGGGCTGTGGTTGTAGGTAGTGTTGATTGTAGATTACCGGGGCAGAGGGAGAGGAGCTAGGGAAACCTACACCAGTGCCTTGCGCACATCTTCGCGGGGAATCACTCCCTCCTTCTCGTCCGGGAAGTCTGTGTTCTTGTCGGAGAATAGGTGAAAGACTTCTTTGATTTCATTTTCTTCTTCGGCGGTGATATTATTCTCCTTGGCGAGCTTTGATGCGCGTCCGCGCTTTGGCGCTGCCGGTGCGGAGGAGCTTGCTGCGCCTCCGCGCTTTCTTGGAGGCTGCAAGGGAGTCAGTCTTAGTTGAGTATTGATGATAGCTGGGGTTTCTTTACCATGTGTGTATTATTGGCAGGACTTGTGGCTTTACAGGGGTATTGGCATGGACAAAAATGAGGATTTGGCGCCGGGGGTGACGAAGGTGGGGAGAGCGGCGATTGGAAGACGATCTATGCAGCCAGCTTCATACCTTTCAAATGTTGTTATACATCATTATGCGCATAAATGAGTATCGATAGCATGTGAAAAGTTGAAATTCATTTTTTTTTTTTAGACTCTTGATCTACTGTATACATGACTTTCCTGATTTTTGAAGTAGGTTGGACGTGATATCGAGACCAGCTACTGAGGTATACAGTAAGAAAATGAGATCGCGTCAATGAACAACGCCACGTTTCATTTTGATAAAGTAGAGACAATATTAAATATCAAGTATCAAGTATCGCATCCATACACAATGCTATAGAATGCGATCGAAGGTGATAGCAGCCCTGGAGGCTGCCGGTGCTGACGTTATCGGATTGGAGCCTTCACAGATCGTCCTTCAAGGGCTCTTTATCTCGACTTTCACTTCAAAGGGTTACTCCCTTCCACGTCGGACACCTGCTTCATCATGGATGTCTCACTATATGTCTACGACCTTTCGAAGGTGAGTGTCCTTGTCCTACATGCGGTAAATATCGACTAACCTTGAATATAGGGTCTGGCCCGAATGGTATGTTCAATGCACTAGTGAAAGCGAACAGTGTCTAATTTGTACAGTACTCCCTTGCCCTGACAGGTACACAAATGGATGCCATCTACCATACATCCATCGTCCTCAACGGGATCGAATATTATTTCGGCCAGGGTATCCAAACCGCGGCTCCAGGGAGTACCCATCATGGTCAGCCCATGGAGATCGTGAAGTTGGGCAGCACTGAGCTTCCAAGTGAGGTTATCGAAGAATACCTGGGTTCATTGGCAACCATTTATACGGCCGAGGTTCGTTCATGCACAGCTTCAGCAACGGAGCTATGGCTAATCGATTCTAGTCATACGACCTTTTCCTTCATAACTGCAATAACTTTACTCAAGACCTTGCAATGTTTCTTGTCGGTAAAAGTATTCCGGAGCATATTATTAATTTGCCTCGCACTTTTCTGGAAACTCCATTCGGGCAAATGATGAAACCTCAAATCGAGATGGCTCTCAAAGGCGTCACTCAAGGCACTGGAACAGGTCCTACCCTGGACCAAGTGTTCAACCTACCACAGCGAGGGCTGTCCCTCCCGCACCTCAGCCAGTGGCACCTCCAGGGGCGGGCACAGTCCGTATAGTGAGCAATCTCAGTCAGCTACAAACCGAGCTTTCTAGTGCTTCCCATTCCTGCGCCGTTATTTTCTTCACATCGTCAACATGTCCACCATGCAAGGCTGTTTACCCAACATATGACGAACTCGCGGCGGAAGCGGGTGAGCGAGGTACTCTCATCAAAGTCGACATCGGCGTAGCTCGCGATGTTGGCATGAAGTACAGCGTGCGCTCGACTCCCACCTTTATGACATTTTTGAAGGGCCAGAAGTTGGATGAATGGAGTGGTGCCACCCCGGCCAAGCTAGTGGGAAATGTTCGTATGTTGTTAGAGATGGCACACCCGGCCCACCCTCATCGTCAACTGCGACTTCCCAGTCTTCAGCGAGAGATAACGACCTTCGTCATGTATAAGAAGGTTCCACCACTTGAAAAGCTCCTCCAAAAACTTCCTGTCGCCTTTAAGGAAGGCCTTGGCGTTGCCCAGGTTATTGAATTTGTGAAGCTGCGTCACTCAGCTACCGAACCTGTCGCCGATATCAGGGCCCCGATTTGCATATATTTGCCACAACTTTGACCTCCATATACTCGACGCTTCCCATCGACACTCACTTCGCCGTGGTTGATCTAGTTCGTCTTCTTCTGCTTGATCCACGTGCAAGTGGCTACTTCGCCGAAGAAGCCCAACACGCAACCCTCCTCACTCTCCTTGCACCTCTATCCCAAGACGATCTATCCTCGTGCCCGTATAATCTCCGCATCGTGGCCCTCCAACTAGTCTGCAATCTCTTCAGCACACCTCTCTACCCAGAGCAACTCACCTCCTCCTCATCCCCACTCCGCGAGACCTGCCTCCGTCTTGCGACCAACTCCCTCCTAGACTCACAAACCAGCCTCCGTGTTGTCGCCGCCTCGTTTGCATACAACCTTGCCGCATTCAATCATAACGCCCGCTTGGATGGGAAACAAGATCCTCTGTCCGAGGAAGATCAGGTCGAACTGACTGCATCATTGCTTGAGGCTGTTTCGCGCGAGAATGAGAGCGTGGAAGCCTTGCATGGGTTGTTGTTTGCCCTTGGCCTTCTTGTTTACGAAGCTCCGATGGATGGGTCTCTAATCGATCTTTGTCGCGCTATGGGTGTGACGGAGACAATTTCAGGAAAGATGAAGGTTGAGGCTGTACAGAAGGAGCCACTGCTTAAAGTGATAGGGGAACTTTTTAGCAAGGGGCTGTAATTAACGAATTGCTCCATAATGTTCAATTAGGATATACATGAACTTGAATACCTGGAGAGCTCAGTAATTATCCTCTGAACCAGCTGCTGGAACATTTATTCGTCTATAAACTTTCGCTTTTTGCATATCGTCCTAGTAGTTTCTTTTCGTTGTTCTTTCTCGAAGTTGAATTCCCTAATGATTTCTTGATTTCGTCCTTGTAATCATTTAACATCGCTGAGCTTTATAATGGCGACAGAGTTACCTTTGGATCTATTTCGGTCACTTGGCTACCATTGTGTCATTCATATTGACCTGATGAAGAGATATTTATCTCTGGAATGTGCGTAAATCGAGGGCGACTGGAAAAGAGACAGCGCATACCAACTTTGTACTATTCTAGACTTTCGTACCATATGGTGCCTTTTGTAAGTATAGCCAGGGCTACCTGGGTATGGTTGATGTCGGCTATCATCGGTGTAAGTTGCATCGAATGTGCGGGGAGCAACAGGGGGTACCTGATCCTTGTAGATGCCTAGGTAAGGCGCAATTAGCTTTTTCAGAACTTCAATCACAACCTTGCAATCTTCTCGGATATGTTCGTCCGACGCCTTTTCGGCGACATGTCGGCATCATCCCGAGACCCATCTCGGCTACTCTCGGTATCAGTCATCCCACAAGAGATATCTACGGCGGGGAATCAATTGAAGATCTTCAGAGCCAGGAACACATCTTCTGTCTCCCCTCGTGATCATGGCCATAGACAACATCACCCACCACATCGTCGCCATTGAGGCTGTTCATTGCCCGATCCCCGAGTTTGATCTACCAGGGCCGCATTCTCGCGCTGTCCACCGATGGACCGATCCCGCTGATCTGCCCAGCCGCGTGAAAGATGCCACAATCATTATAACGACAACAATACGCCTATCGGCAGAGACTCTCAGCGCGGAAATCACCCCAAAACTCCGCCTTGTAGTAATCATGGCGACCGGCACAGACTGCGTCGACATTGCAGCTGCGTCCGCACGAGGAATCACCGTGTGCAACTGTCCCGGCAGTAACATTGACAGTGTCAGTGAACACGCCATTGGACTTTACTTTGCCACACGGCGGAAGTTCATCGAGCTCCATAATGCCACAGTTGCAGTTCCTGCGGACTCGTCTCTTGATACGGAGTGGAAGACAAATGGCTCGTTACTTGGTCGGGTTCGTGCGCCTGATGGAAAGGCCCCGTTGTTGTGTAGTGATGAGACCGTGTGCATTGTCGGATACGGATCGCTAGGCAAACGCATCGAGACTATGACAAAGGGTCTTGGGATGAACGTGATTATTGCTGAGCGGAAGGGTGTATCTCCTCGAGCGGGTCGGGTTCTGTTCGAAGATGGATTGAAAAAGTCGACTGTGGTTGTTTTGTGCTTGCCACGGAGTGCTGAGACGCTCAATATGATCTCGACTGCGGAGTTGCAGATCATGTCCCCCCATGCCGTGCTGGTTAACGTTGCAAGAGGGGGGGATTGTCGACGAGCAAGCCCTGGTTGAAGCTCTCAAGCGTGGGGCCATCTCAGGCGCGGCCACAGATGTTTATGCCACAGAACCTGCTGGGAGAGGTGATTCCCCGTTGTTAAGTCCAGAAGCAGCCGGGTTGAATTTGGTGTTGACACCTCATCTTGCCTGGTATTCTGAAAGGACGTTGCAAAACCTGCAGGCTGCGATGAAGAACACGATTGAGAAGTGGTGCGTTGGTGAGATTATCAATCAGGTGCGATGATAGCTAGGAGATTTCAGTCATTTGTATATACATTTGGCAAATAGAGTATTATAGACTACCCTGTAGAGCACCTTTGTTAGAGAAGATATTCAGGCCAAGGCCATTTTTGATGAATGGCCACAGAAAGCTATGCGGCTTAAGATACAAACGGAGGAAGATGTACCAAATACACATACAAAAGATGGTATATCTGTATTGCTGAGTTTCATTAAAAGTCATAAATACGCAATATGCTGGTGATCAACGTAAATCCTGTGCTTTTCTTCTCCTGTATCCCCGGTCAGAGTGCGCGGTGGTCAGCCACAAGTTCAATAACCAGCTAGTCAGGATGTCAAGTTCAGATGCAATAGATTCAATAATTTGACGATATCTCTTCCCATTCAATCATTCTTAATATATAGGGTCTAAGTCCGGATGAAGTCCTAGTACTATGCATTTGCCTCTAATTCCTAGATTATCGGACACCGCTAACACATGCTGCAGCCCATGCTTTTACAAGGGCATCGCTCTAAACCAATATAGTTTGATGCCGGGAATCCAACGTTGGATAACTATCAGATGACATTGAAGATGGAAGTCCCAATAGGCATGCGAATCATCTGTTAATTGGAATGTGATTCTAATCACATCTCCCGGTGTTATATGGAGTTGGTAACAGCCAGGAGAGTTGGCGCATGTGCTCGATCAAATCTACGGAATGTGATGTCCAGACTACTTGATATTTCGCCACTGCTGGTGCAACACATCCACGACAAATAGCGCAAATGCAGCAGAGAGAACCAACGGTGGCAACAAGAAATGGTAACGTTAATGGCGAGGCGGCTATTTTCGGGCAATGAGGCTTTCTCTAGAACGCCAACTATACTACAGAACTTATACTTGTGATAGACAAGGAGTGTAGCGGTAAAATCCAACATCCATGGATGCACGGAGTATACCTGCGCGATTTCAGCGTCCATAGTACCAACTCCGGGCGTCCACGGGGTACATTCCGTATTCAAACCCAGCCGACTAATCCCGCCCAGAAGTTGGAAAACAAGATCGGGATGGTTGGGATCGGGCAATGTTGGGAAGACCCCAGATCTGACCAAAACAGCCTAACAACAACCCCAGCCGCAAAATTCACGATATTCTCCGATGCTCTCTAATCCAACATTAATGTACATGTACAGCCCCAGATGAACAGTCCCATGATTATCAATCACCTCAAGGTTTCCAAGGTTTCGCCCCAACATCGATTACTAAGACCCCAATCTCACTGTTGCACTGTTGCATTCCAGCAATAACGACCGCAGGGCCTCGTGTCATACACAGCCAGCAATAAGCTGTTACAGCCTCACTGTTTCTGGGTTCCGGGCTCTACACTGGCCGAGGTGAGGCGGTTACGCAAGCGGGGAACACGAGGCAGGCAGGGCTGACGATCGGCTGTTGGGTTATTCTATTTCGAGGGGTGTGCATTTCGGGCAATAGGTTACATCTACATCAACGTGGCAGGGACTTTTCTGGGTACGAAGAAATTGGATGTATAGTTGGATTTAGGGATGGATAAGATTACTGCTTTCGGTTCTATTCTACGATTTGGAAGGATATTCTTGTTTCAGGATTTGGTCAATGTGCTTAGTTCAGGCTACCTAATGTACTGAAGAACGGCTATTGACAAATGTGATATGGCACGTGGCGCAATATTCCGATACCAGATCACAAAGACCTGGAGCGCTGTTGGAAATTGCAAAATATCACAAAGCCTCGATGAAAAACAAAGTGGGGGTATACAAAACGTGGGGGGGGTATCTGAACAAGGCGCTGGGAATAGCAGATTCGTTAAAAGCAGAAAAAAGAAATCAAAAGAAAAGAAACAAGAAACAAGAAACACCGGGTCCTCATGGATGCAAGCCCGAGGGTAGGCTAAAAAAGGTCAAATGATGATCAAAGGCGCTGCATTCCATGCAAGAACAGGATCCTCGTGGGAGGGGGGGGAATAATGGATTCGCTGAAAAGGAAAAAAACAAAAAAACAAATGTGAAAGTTGGAAAATGAGTCAGAGCCGAATGAACCAGCGGTGTGTTCAAGAGGTAAGGTGACAGTGACAGTCCAGGGATTTCTTGAAGCGCCGACAGCGAGAAATTAGGTAAGCGCGGGGGTCGCGGGCCCTGGGTGGGCATCAGGTGGTTCCATGGCCCAGATGGATCCCGATGTCGGCCCGTGCGAGTGTCCATTCACCAGTAAGCTGAGACGAAGATCATTGCATGTTGTGTTGCTTGGAGATCGGGGCTCCTGTAACTTTGCAGTTTGGCATAAGGCGACCTCGCGGGTATCACGGTTGAAGGGGAAAATAAAATCGAGATTAGGCACTCGGTGTGGGTCTCTGCACATATCGGGGAGATGCGGGGTGAAATTAAAAGATAAGGCGAGGTAATGACATGATTGTGAAGAGAATGTGGCGTTATTCGGAGAGCGCCTGCGCTGCACCGGGAATTGCCGGTGAGCTTATTGACTGAGCACCTTAGATGCCGAGTGAGCACGTCGTTTGGGAGTTGGCACGACTCGGCGCTTCTTGCGCTTTGATGTCTCGCGCTCTGCCACAATGCTCTGCTTTGCTGTGCGGAGGGCTTGGGTCGCTCGCGCGTGGGCTTCAACCTTGGCGAGGAAGTTGGCTCGGTCTTCTTGTTCGGCGATAGCGCGCATGCGCTGAAGTTGTTGTTCCATAGTCACGGAGCAGATGGTACCGGCGTCTTGGTTGATGGCTTCCTCTACTGCTTGCTCAGCGGCTGAGTTCTCTGGCATCCACAAGAGATCGTCGTCAGAGAGGAAAGCGCTGGCACATGAGTCGGAGGAGTCGTTGCTTGAAAGGGAAGGGCGGTTGGGCCAGGAGGGGAAGGCATATGCTGCTCCCATCTCACTAGAGAAAGACGACTTGCGTGGGTTGATGTCGAGGAGCGAGTCGCTGGGAGTTGGTGGAGGGGCGAAAGGACTTGACATGGACGAAGAGGCGCTGCCACTCCAGGCAAAGGTGGGTTGTGCTGGATCCGTGCTGGCGATAGGAGCTGCCGCCTTGGGGAGCGACATCTCTTGGAGACGTGACTGAATAGGAATCATAGTGGCGGATATGTTGAGTATGTTGAGTATGTTGTAGATGTTGAGGGTTGGTAGTACCAGGGCCCAGTAGGTGAGAGAGAGACAACAGTGTGAAGGTGTAAGTTGTAAGGCGAAGTGAAGAATGAAGAGTCGAGGAGAGTTGTTTATCAATGATCGGTGGGAAGGGCGCACGCAAATAGATATCAAAGATCAAAGCCGGGGAAAGACTTCTAGACTTCCCGACACCCTTGCAGTCGAGAAAATGAAATTTCCCAAAAAGGAAAAGTAATAAAGAAATAAATCCAAAATGGGGAAAGTAAAAATAAAAAAAAAAAAAGGATAAAAGAATAAAACAAATAAAAAATAAATCTGAACAATCAGGCGGAAGGAGGCTTCCGCAAACAAAGGGCTGTCGATCAACCTTGGAAGAACGGATCAACCCAAACAGAAAATAAAATATAAAATAAAATAAAATCCAAAAAGGGATTTTATTTTATTATTATTTTCACAATTTCCAGATGTATCGGATTTCTGGCTTTCTGGCTTTCTAACACACGGGGAAAGATCGGATCCCCGGTTAAGCGCTGGCTTTTCTTGCCTCCGACTCTGACAAGTCTGACACAGATACTTGTCCAATGTATATTGTATATTGTGTACAAAGTACAACTCAAGCTCGAGAGAATCTGATATCAGCAAATACTGAATGTCGATTCCCCCTTACGGCAGGAGATCGAGATTTCCCCGAAAGGGCTGCCCAACAATCTTTCAAGATCTGGTCTGATCTCAAAATCGGATTGTTTGGAGTATTTCCCAGTTCCGATGACAATTCTCCAATGATCATGCCTCGGATTCACCGCTTCGTTCGGGGAAGAGGGAAAAAAAAAGAGAAGTCGCGGAAGCTGCAGGCCTAACTGGAATTTGCAGCCCTAATCGCATGTACCCAAACAGAATCTTTGAACGCCTAAACGCTTGGAGGAATCAGGTTCGTTGGCATTTGGCGGTCACAATGCAACACGTCAACACCGTTGATAGTCGAAGGTACAGAAAAGTTGAAGAGAAATCTACACCCACGGGAGAACGAACTATCCTCTTTCTTTTAAACTCCGTACGGAGTTGGGTAGAAGGGAGTTTCCCCGTGTCTCCACACCCGGGCCAAGTCTAAAGTCCGTGGAGGATTCGAATTTCCAATCTAGAAGCCTTTAGCGGAGTCCAATCTAAATGAAAAAGGAACGGCCAAAGGATTGGGAACGGGTTTCCGTTGCCTCGGAACTTCTCCCTGATTGCCCCGGGGCTCTAACGGATAAATGCAGTTCCTCGGCAATTATCAATTTGCCGTCAAATACTCCGTACTGCCTACCGTTCTCCTCCGGGGTACGGGGTAGACTTCAAAGTTCTAAACCAGGATGTAATCAGTTTCCCTTATCGAATTATTCCCGGGAGGAAAAGACCGTCTGATTTTCGCACGAATCACAGGCCACTCCGCAATCCCACCGAGGCTCTTTTCTTTGTCAGAATATCAATAAATCAATAAATACTCCAAGGTTGAGTCTAGATCGACAAGTCCAGACCACTCAAAACAAAGACATTTCCCATCTATCTGATTTTCGAGATTCCCCGGAATGTCATGCCCCTTTCCGTTCAATCTGTCAATAATTATATCTTTATGATCATAAATTTATGATGCAGATGACTTGCTTTATGCAAGCCTAGACGGGGAAGAATGTGACGGTCTTCCCCGGTCTAAGTGGATCAATCCGTGATCCTGGGTGTCCCGACGACCAATTTGCACTTCCCGTTCGGGCGCATGATCGCCATCTCCATCATACTCGTCATATCCAAGTACAATATATACTCCCCATTGACCGCAAGAGTACTTTGGCAAATCTACATATCTAATTCCCCGACGAATGTGAAATGCAAATACCCCACGCCTCCTACGTCCAACTCCATAATTGATGCTTCCGCGTCACGGCCCGCCGGGGAACCTGAGAAAACCTTGGAAAGGGGTCAAGCGGGGGCTTCAACGACTGACCCAGAAAATCAAATTCAGATCGACGTGACAGCTCCTCGGTACAGCCCCCGGCTACTCCCTATTCCAGTCGCGATGAAATCACATTGCACATAGTTCACACGACATGTGAGAAGCTCACTGGATGAGGAGCGGGCCGCGGTTCACGATCCGGCGCGCGTCGCGTTCAGATCTTTGCCCCTTTCCAGGCTCTCGGTGCTTCAATAGATTTTCAATGCATGCCCTGTTACCTGTCTCCTGGGTTTCATGGTGGAGACAGCTAGTTCGACGTCGGGGGACTGGGGTGCTAGAGCTCCGGTATTGATTTGATTCAACGGGATCACGTTAATCTCCCGGAGAATACTCGGTATGTTGGGTACAAAAGTTCTGTTTCAGAGAACGAAAGTGAGAACTCGGTCTATCAATTTTACCTCGGTTACGTTCGACTCCATGCAGCTTTGCGAGACTCAGCTTAGGTTAAAGACCAAATCATACAATGTAGATTTGCATACACATATTTGTGTACTGGTTATTGGACTGGATTCAAGTACGAAGTCAATGCAGGGTTGAAAGGAGCTTGATTTGCATATTGGATTGAGTGGCCAGCTCTAGCCCCTTTGTAAAATAGTGCATTGGAGCTCAGATCCACACTGACCCCTTCCAGTCCTTCCCGGGTTTCCCTGCAGATTATACTCTGCACCTCATATGCAATCCACATGCAGTTCACATGCAAGATCTCTGAACTAAAATTGCAAGGACACAGACGGTCGGGTCTGCTCTTGCATACACATATTGTAATAGAATAGCACTGAAGAAAAGAGGTTGAATATTGAATCCACACTGTCTAGAAGGTACAACATATTTTAATCTCCTGATTCACTACTCTGTATATCAACTCGGACCGAGGCCTAGCCTCTATCAACATGAATAAAAGTTAATGTGATAGAATCAAGTTCCGACACCTTGACTCACCGACTGAATAGCCACAATTCCATTTCGAGGTACTTTTTTTTTGGTCACGTTTGCCACAGCTGCACGAATTCCAGGGTTGATAGGAGATGCAGCTCATCCAGGTTGATGCCGCGGGCACTAAAGATAAGATATATTTGGACCATGGAAAATACATCCACCCATGGGGTCCCAACCACATTCCGCTGGAGATTTTGAACAATGTGAGATAGCACATTCTGAAAGTACGAAGTACATACCAACTTACTCCGTACACGGTCCTTTTTGCAGTGTGAGTAACCCAAGATCCTTCCGGGACACTATCCGCGGTCTCGGCTGCATCGATCGACAAGGGTGTGATGCCAGTGAGGTTGACGGTGTACCCGAGACGTGTCCATGAGGCTTGCTTAAGTGTCAACTTTCATCATCTCCCAGAGCAATGAACGCCTCCTTATCCATCACAGGGAACTGTGCTTGCATGAATAAGATCCGCACGGATAGCACAGTCGTAAGCTCATAATCTAGACCAACGCCAACATTGTGACGGTGGCGAGATGAGACAGCCCATCTCTGAGACCGCTAGAGCAGCTATCGCCATTGGCTACAAAGCAAAGCTATCGTCTCTTCTGCTGACTCCAATCAAATATCTCCTCTGAGTCAGGAGTTACATAGTACCTAATTCACAGCCTGTAGACACATACACAGCCTGTAGGCCAAGGGTATCTACCTTGACCGATATTTGCGACCGGGTAATATACGATCGCCACGGTCGCTTTCCCGTACGGACACGCTTTAGGAAATTCCCAAGACGGAACACAAACATCAGAAACAAGCCAGGCGGGTTGTCTCCGTCCCATGAATGGAAATCTTCATCCACCCTCCCTTTTCGAGAACGTTTCGACACACCGAAATGCAACACCTGCACATGTGCAAAGCCGAAGGGGAACTGCGGTAGGCCGTGAACCCGCGTTAGAATTGTAGATGCGTCTTTGCAATTCTTCGAGTTGCCTACTTAGGCCTAGCTAGCAATCGCTTTGTCCTGTCGAGCCGTTGTTCCTGTACAATGCCGGGCATGGATGCTTCGGGCGCATCGACGTTTCAATCTGCGCTGGGTACTGACATCCGCGCTCTGCGCGCCTACATGCTACGGTGAATTTCGACAGCGTGTAAAAAGCAATATCCTGGTCGTACAGGCTGGCAACATCGTATGCCCGACCGAGTGAGGATGGACAATATCCGAACAGGGTCGTTGAGAGTGTTCTCCCGTCGTGACCCTGGTCGCGCTAAAGTGACATGGGTTTGCCTGGTTATTCCCGATGCACGGGTCGGATAGGTGGACTGGCGGTGAATTGTGTTTCCTTCCTATTTGGCTCTTTGGAACATGCACCTAAACTTTGGGCAGTTGTAGATGTTTGCAAGATAGGGGGTTGGGACTTCTGTTGGGATTTGCGAGGTTGTTTGACTTGGTTTGAAGGAGTACCCCGTGTCTAGCTACCCTCTCCAGTGTCCTCTTCTGTGTCGACGGAGCTCTACTATACTTGTCTGTGGCCAATTTGTGCTATCGAATGAAGACCGATATCATTTCATGCATCGTCTGAACTGCCAGGGCTTTGATTGTCCCGACCCCTACCCTATAATTTTAGGTCATATTAACACTTGTAGCCTTGAATTCTCAGAAAACAGCTAACAAGAAATTTGAAGCGTTTAACTATTTCTTGAACGATGGAAGTGGATCAGAAGACAGTTACCCTAAGGTAAGTTCAGATATATATATCGCCTTTTCCTTAAGCTAGCGATCAAGGTAAAAATATTATAAAATACCGGATATGGCCTTGGCTTGGAAAATGATGCCAACCTAATATTTAGTTGACATAGTGTATGCAACTAAGTACTTGAATCTGATAAAGTTGCATACGTTACCATTTCCCAAGGTTGTCGTCAATGTCTATATCTCTGTCGGATCCAGGTGACTATAGGCCAAGCGGTTTATCTCGAGGCAAAGCTTGTTCGCCAAGGCTAAGTTAATCAACAGCGAATCCTCACTGCTGTATGTGTATGTGGTTTCTTTCTTCTTCTTACATCTAAATTGTTGAGGGTGAGGCACTTGGCCGATGTTGAAACCAATGCAATGATTGAAGGTGTTTCACTCGAATCTCTCTGATAGAGTTAAAATACACACCAGTTCGCGCAGAGCTTCAAGTATGGCTATTCTAGATAGACAAAGAAAACGAAGACATAGAACCCGAATCTGAAGCCTCAGATGAGTCACTCATCGTTGGAACAAGAGGAGTAGCAGAACAGGGTCTAAGGATCCATCGCCGATCAGCACCAACCCCTTTGATAGGAATCCAAGAGTGATTTATATGCTTCCTTCCAACCTCTACCTGGCATTCCCCAAACGCTTTCTCCAGTCGACGATCAAGCTTGCTCTCCTTGTGGACTCGATCCTCGCCCTGGAAAAGCAACTGTCTCTCGTTCGGATACAATTACCACCCCACAATCGAAATCATTCAAATACATTGATGCCACCTCCAACCGGAGACTATCCCAGTCTATATTTTCCGGAATCCATTCCTGGACTGGCCGTAAAGTACTTGGTTCGTAGACCCATTTGGGTGTCCAGCATTCGAAGTTCAAGGGCATTCGGATACGGGATCGTCCACTCCAGAGTATCCATTTGTTGCGGGTTGGAATTAGCGTGCTGCCTCCTTGGAGGAGGGTCAAAATGTCACCCATCCGCAGGAAGTTGTTTGGGCTGGTAGATAATTTGGTGAATTCGGAGTCTGATCTTTTGATGATTTCAAGGACTCCGATTGATGATGTTGGTGGTTGTTGAAGTAGCATTCTTTTCCAACTGGCGTCTTTTCGTAGGTAAAACTTGAGCTTGCGACGCTCAGGTTCCCGCAGCGGAAATCTGCTTACGTCGGTAAATCTTGACTCTGAGGTCTGTTGTTGCTTCAGGAAGAATTGAGCCCAAAGGATATCTTCTAGGAGCGGGTTGCGAAGGCGTTGTGAGGGATCGGAGATCTCGAACTTGGAGGGTTTGAAGAAGAGGGACTCTTGGAGTCTGACTGATGTTCTGATCATGGTGTTCCAAACTCGAGACACGCGTTGAGCAGATGTTAATAGAGTCCTCGTATCTGTATGTAGAAGAATGTTCTCAAGTAGCTCATTGATGAGGAAGATGTCGTGCGGTTGTTGTAAGGGTTTGTTGATAGACATTATTGAAGATGATGTAGAATTGGAATACTTCTGCGAATTAGAATAGGAACGACCAGCTTTATCAAGTATTGGGGACGATATCATACCCTATGACGATCAGATAGAAAATGAGGACCCCGGGGGACCTTCGGATCTATACTCGCAACTCCAGCAGCCAACGTCTGAGAACAGTCTTGGAAGCAGATTCTGCTTACGTTCGGAATTGCTAATTTGCTAGTAGAACTCGCTGTAAAAAGAGCAATGTAGTTTTTTTCGCGAGCAAAAGGACATGTAGTTGTATGCTGTGGCCCCAAGGTACTTACTTAATGAGGTGATTCCGGACCGTGGCCTTTCCCAAGGTGCTCATGTCTAAATGCGGGGATCTTATCCGGCGCTATCGGTGTCGACTGGGGTCTAACTCGTATATGTATATAAGATTACATAAAGGGTTGTTAGGAGAAGCAATCTATGATGAAATGAGCCTATGGAATTAGAATCAAGCCGGATTCAATCGACATGTATTGTTTCAATAAGTCAATTCTCGCGTTGGGGACCCCATAATAGTACATAATTTACACAAAATACTCCCAAACACCGTGGAGCTCAAATAAACGCCAAATGGAACGTATCGGGTATCATGATGATGCGGTAGCCGACCATAGGGCACGGCTATGCGAGGCAAAGACAAAAAGAAAAAGAAAAAGAAAACAGACGAAGAAGAGGTGATCATGCAACGACGGTAGAGGGTGAGTCCAGTTCAGCATTCTGTTCAGCATCGGTGTCAATCACATTTGAGGTCTTCAAAGGCTGGTCGGCAGGAAGCATGTCGTCCATCGGCAACGAGATACTGGTCTCACGGGAAGTGGCAGATTCGAAGTCGGTGACAGTAGACGGAGTGGAGATGTCTTTTGGCATGGCCGAGTTGCCCATTGATTCCTCACTCTCGAACTGACAAGATTCTGCATATTTATCGCATAGATCATGTTCTGGAGTTGCAGATCGAGTCGAACACGGTGAGACAGAATCATCTACAGCTTCGTAAAACAGCATGAAAGCACCTCCTTGGGTCATCACATGACCTTCACTAACCATCTGCACGTCATCGTCGCTGAGGCGCCACCACCGCTCGGGCTTGTCCTTATCACCCTCGGCTTGAAGGATTTCGTCTGGTGCGGGAGCTGTGAATTCCGATGTCGGATACTTGCGATAGCAGATATAGTGTCCATTCTCATGCCGGCCGTAATGGGTGATGATTGCGCGTAATTGATAATGTCTGCTAGGGACTTGAATTGATTCACCAGGTTGCGGAAGCATGGACCGAGAGGGATTTGTCTCCCAATGCTCAGAGTTGTCGCCACATTTGCTGAGAGGCTGGGTGCCAAGACACCAATTGTTCAAATCAATCATTTGAGGAAACGTGACTGTCGCGAGATTCTTCTCCAACGTCCCAGTGTACTCGTCGAAAACACTGCGGTTGATATGGATAGCGAGACAGCGAGGAGCCCGCGCAATGACGGCTTGTCTAGATTTCGTGGTGGAGATTCTGTTCTTTGAGTTGATATGGCATTTGTTTGCCAATGTGTTTTCGCTGAAATCATTGCCGTCCAAAGCTGTCTTGACAGCCTCTAACCGCGAGTGGGCTGACAGTTTCACAGCATCCAGTGGTTGAGGCTCATCGGAGCTCTCTGGCCGACTCTCGTCCGCTTCAAATCCACTGATCAAGTTGATAAGCTGCTCCTGTCGATGCAACAGCGTGCACTTAGCGCATTCCACGCCTTCAATAGGCTCAAGTGCCATGTATTGGTCCAAACATTCGCGGACATCATACGAAGATCTTTTGCCTAGAGGAACAGTGAGGCAATTGAAAGGTATCAGCGAGAGCCCTTCAGTCCATCCGCATTCCATGCAGCCAACTCGTTGAGCGAGCAGGCCTTCGAGAGGATTGCAAGATGAAACCCTATCAAGATAAAGCTTATCTGTCGATGGGAGCGATTCGGGTTCCCAAGGCGCCACCGGGTCGTCACAGTCGCTGTCTCGAAATATGTTCTCATCGGGCCCTGCAATCTTCAATCCAATATTCAAAGTCTCTCCGCGTGAGCACCGCTCGGCTTCAAGGTCAATTTGACTAAGCAATTTGGAAAAATATTCTTGCGCATCTTGCTGTTGCCAGCTACTCATAGACTTGAAAGGTCCAGAGATCCACAGCTTGGTTCCACTTTTGGAGGCGCTATTCAGACGGTCGATGAGGTCTAGTAGTGCCCTATGCGTCGAGACGGAAGCTTTCCCGAGAGGTTGTCCACGTTGTGCCCCAGAAACTCGGCGAGATATTTCAAAGAAGCCAATCCCTGTATGATGCTGTTCTGAAAACACGAGTTATTCCAGTTTCCTAGCCCTGGGGGGGGCGACATCCTTGGTGTCTCCCAGCAGCGCATTTCCGAAGATAGAGAGTGATTTTGACCTGGAGAAGAAGGGGAAGTAGACGTTATTGTCCAAGCCAAGAATACGTTTCATAGCGTCACTTTTATCTTGCAAGGGCAAAGGCGACGAAGCTAGCGTCTCTGGGTCGGAGGTCGATATGTGAGGGTCCAAAGCGATAACGATTCGAGAGGGCGTAAAATAGACAATGAGATCCCAAGGAAGCTGGAATAGCGATACGGGAACGAGTCCGAGGTAACCGAGAAGGATAGGAATCGAAATGAGAGCAATAAGGATGTATGCTAGCGGTTGATTGTTTTGTAAAGTCGTGAGGGCGATTTCATAATGACTGTTGCGGCTTGCGTACTGATCGTGGCGGTTGAAAAAAGTCTCAGAGCGCCCGTCGCGGGTGTTCATTGTCAATAAAGCCAGACGGAATATCTGTGGCAAGAGTAATATGCCAGCATCAACAGTAGCATGGATCGATAGAGAACGTGGGAGTGTCAAGACGCGCAGAACAGGTCATGAAAGTACATCTATGTTTGCGCGGAAAAGGTGCACTTTTGGTCGTCTTCGTCTGCCGTAAACTTTTTTTATCGATAGCGATTTCACCCCACGAGATTGACAATTCTTCAAAACAACAACCATGGCTAAGAGCAAAGGTGAGTGTTGACTACAAATCTCATATACATTGATATTTGAGTATCTAATATTTGAACAGTCTCGCAGCGTTCCCGCGCAGCACGGAGGGCAGCGTCCCCAAGTCTCGACCTTGACAAGTCGGTGACTTCGCTTCCCCGAGCGGAATCTCCTACCACAACAAGGCCTTCAGTTCTGGCTGACCGGGCCACTTCCGGTATCCAGAAAAAGCAGAAGAAAAATGACAAGATTTCAAGGGCTCAGCGGTTACGGCAACAAAGGGGAATGGACCGAGCCGAGGCCGTGATGGATCAATTGGAAATCAAGAAGGCTAAAAGTCTGGCTCGCGGCAAGACCGTCAACTCCCGAAGAGTATGAAAACAGATGGTCGTTTTGTTCTGGAGTATATGTGCTCACATTGAATTAGGCTGACTGGGAAGACACCAACCGCAAAACTCTGACATTCACCGCTCTTCAACAAGATGACGACGAGGAGGGTGACGAGGATGACGATGCGATGGCCGAAGATTCTGCACCTGCCAAGATTGCTGTCGCGAATAATGTCTTCCAAATTGCAACCGAAGACGTCAATCCCGCAACTGACGACTCTGCGGCAGTCGATGAAGCCGACGAGATCACCTGAACAACCCTGGAGCGGGCCTGTGTGATACATGTTAAACATCCCTAGTGCGCTCATTTCCTTGGCCTTAGTTGATTGATCATGCGCTCAATTTCGGTGGCCGCGGGGCCAGATGCTTTAGTGCGGAGGAGTTCCAGGGTGTTAAGGTCTTTAGTCTTTTGTGCCTCTTCTCCGGCCTTCACGATCATACCGCACTTGACCCACATCTCGATTCTCTCAGCAGGGGACAAGTGGGTGCACTTGGGCACGAATCCTGAAGCAAGTTTTGTGTTTCCAGCACCCAAAATCTCGTTGTAGAAAGGCTGTCTTGTGTGAGCGTCTATTCCAGTAGATTAGAATTATCGACTGTCTTACCTCCCATCCGATTGGGGACTTCTTGAGTTTAGCGATTTCCTCCAGTTCGCCCCAGTCACGTTTAGCCACCAACGCCCTCAATCTCAACCACCAAAATGTTTTCTCAGGCATCTTGAATTCACTTTGGATTTTGTGTGCTCTTTTACCGTAACCACCCCGGACAAGTCTGTAGACTGTCTCGTTGAGACTAAGACCAAGAAACTCGCTGTGGTCTGCCAGGTCTTTATCCAATGCGTCTTGGGCTTTCAAAAGCTGGGAGGCCTCAGTGACTAATTTTTGGTTTAACACCACTGTCGGTTCCTTGGAATCAGACAAGAGACGAGATGCTAGGTGGAGTTTCTCGGTTTGGCGTGTCAAATCTGTATCGCGTAATGCTTCTGAGAGTAGCACGTTAGCGCCATCAATAGGTCGATCATCTTGGTAGAAGAGGTCTTTCAGTAGTTCGATGTCCTCGCCTCGTGCAGCAGTCTCCACAAGTGCAGAAGCCATTGGGCGGGTGTTGATCATTCGGAAGAAGCTTGCCAAAGGGAGCTTGCTCTTAAGATGCAGAAGCACGTAGTTCACCAAGTCGTCGTCACCGCTCTCAACTGCTTTATCAAGAGCAAGCTCATCTTCTTCCATGTTCAACAGCAGAGGAACTTGCTTGCCGGCCCGTGGTTCATGGTTGAGCAATTTGGTAGCCAGGTGAGATCGACCCTCGTCATAAGCAGCTTGAGCGATAACTTCAAACGAGATTCCCGGCTTTCCATCGAGTCTTTGGACAATAAGCTTGCAAACTGCTTCGTCATCAACAGTCGAGACCTTCACTTTTTGGCTTGCCCAATGTACATAGATTTTGTCTGCGGGAATCTGTAGGTATTCTGATATCCGTATTGCAAGCAGATATTCATGCCGGCTGATTAGGCGCTCGATGAGTCCTTCCGGCGTGAGGCGCAGGTATTGTTCGTATGATAACGGCAGCCCGATCTTATAGTCTCTCAATGCTTTGAGAACGCGTAGTTTTTCGGTCATCTCAACGAACTCATCGCTATTGTAGAGTTCAAGGACGGATTTGCCAAACGATGCAGCCTTCAACAGGCGCTTCTGCCAGTAGGCGTCGAATTCATGACCCGCTGCTTTAATGCAAGTGTCAACTGCTGATGGTAAACTAGATCGGATGCGCTGAATGTTCTCATCAGCCTTCGGCGATTTTTTCTCCAGTTGGTCTACCGAATCCAGTAGCACGGAAGCGGGAGAAGACGATCCAAGACGGAATATCTCTTCAGTAACACCTAGAAAAAATTATCAATGACAGTCTGCCTGTTTCCTTGTGATGTTAACTTACCAGCGACCTTGTGTACGAATTCGCATGTGTCATTAGTTATGAGACGAACCCCGTCAAACTCTGGTACGACATGGACGCGGCCGTCGTAGTAGTATCTAGGATGATTAGGGATGATTAGACAGTGCTCGCACATATTACGCAAAAGAGACCACTCACTTTGATGCGACTCCGTTGGGCCCAACAAGATGAATTTCGTCCTCCCATCCAAGGATGACAGCATCATCGCCACACCAATTCACGGTATTTGGCGGAACCCGAGATTTTGAATCATATTCACTGAACTTGTTTTGGAAGTCATTGCTGACTACCCATAACTTCCCCTCTGCGGTGAAAAGCGCGACAAACCGCCCTGTTGGGGACACACTAATGTGTTTAAATGGACCGTCTTGCAGAATCTTGTCTTCTGCCTCTGTTGAATCGATTAAAAAGACGGTCTTGTCAACAGCCAACAAAACCTCAACAGAGCGTGAGAGCGTATGGGCGGGTGGAATCAAAGCCCACGATGACACCTCGCCTTCTGGACAAGGTGCCAAGAGCCGCGGGCGCGGCTCGTCATATTTGGATACAGCAATTAGCTGGTTATTGGACAGCAATGCAACGAGGCCTGATGACCAAAACTGGCAGGCTCTCACGCCATACTCTTCGGAACCCTGTCACATTGTTAGTTTTTTGCACAGTATGGCTAGGGCAGGCAGTTGAAGGGTCTCACATTTCCGAGAGAGAAGGATGTAAACTCGCCGTCCAATCCGAAGTAGCGTCGCACTGTTCCGTCCTCAGAGACGACCAGGAGCTCTTCCTTATCAGACCAGCCTAGTCCTCGAATAGTGGCTTGTTCCCACTAAAATGAGTTAGTAGATTCATCATGATTCGGTCATAAAGTGCAAACAAACGTTTATACGATTGATTTTCTGCCCAGAGCATGAATAAACATCAATGGTGGAACGTGAACCCTGTCCATCGCGAAGCCTGAATGGCTTGCTTTCATCGCGATAAAGTGCTGGTATCCATGTTAGTCCAGTTCTTCGGTTCTCCAATGGAGACTTACCAATAGCTCCTCCGTAGGGGGCGCCCGCGACAATGTAGTTCTCTAACTCGACGTCGTCCTCGAAGATGGCGTCATACACGGCGATTTTGCGATAAAAGCTGTCTCCAACCTTTTCCCAGTTTGCAAGTGGATTTGGTGGCATGACTGTGGATTATGATCACAAACGAGGCACTGAATCCTCTACCTGGGCAGTTGTTGGATGTTCGAGCTGTTGATCGGGAGAACGGGGGTAAGGTGCGCTAGACCTTATCGGGTGGTCTTGTCGCCTTGGTCCTCAGGCGGAGATTCCCCACCACAATCCTCCCGAGGTCGACTTCTTTTGATAGTTGCTGCATCTTCATTGGCTAACTCGGTCATCTTTTTCAAAACATGGACTACACAGATCTTGCCGATATTGCTCGGGAACTATCTGACCTTGAAGTTGCACTTTTACTGTGCCTTGTTGCCCGCGAACATTGCTTGATCGAGACCACCAGCCACTGTATTAATGACCTTGCAAAAGAACTTGCCTTAGTATGTCAATGCACCTAGGGTATTAAGATGATGTCTAATGGAAGACAGATTGGCTCAACTACATTTAATTACTCATACTGCATCCTTGACTGTTCATCTGAAACATCTATTGACGAGATCTTCAATAATGTTCTCGCCCCGGATGCACGCGCAAACTATCGCCCATCGCGTCCGTGGTTGAACACCGAATCAGTATGTTGATATTTCAAGTACTTGATATGACTCTCATTGCTATAGGCTAATAGATTTAGTCAAGCAAAAGTTCTTCCTATAAGAGTTTTGGGGATAGCAAATCACCAGCTCCCTTATCACAACTCAGCAATAACGTTGTCAACATTGTAGTGGCTAAGAACTTCAATTTTGTCAGCGATGATATCCAAATGCACATGCTGCAGGTATGTATTACTATCGATAACCCAGTAATGACAAAGCTGACATGCGGGATAGTTAATGCGATCTAGGGAGCTGGTCACTGAGAGCGGGACCCTGAGTGCGCCTCAAGACTTCCTTTTCGTCCCTCTTGTGGCACGAGATCTCGATCAGCTCCGACCACCTTTGAAACCACATATGGTAAGTATTATTTGTGCACGTCCACATTCTGGTTGTTTTACTTTAGCTAATGCCGCAGTAGAATGACAATCTATTGATCTCTCATTTCCACAGCCCGGAGGCTGGGTATACCTATCTGGAAGAGAATGACTGGCTTTCAGATGGACAACTATCTGCTTCCTCCGTTATTCATACCTCAAAGGGCAAGGAAACAAAGAATGCTACGGTCAGCCCGTTAGTAAGTTCGATGTCACTCAAGTCCACTTCGATTTTAGAATCACGAATTGAGCATAGCAATCTAACACCGGGCTTGTGAACTTATAGGTGATGGATCAACTTCGAGAAGCAAGTGCATCGGTGAGCACGAGCGCGGAGGTCGTTCGATACGTCCAAGACATCGTTGTATTTCTGCGGCTCAGTCGCGCTGTTGCGGGTGGCGTATCTGCCAATGCAAATATTCAGTTTTCTCGATTTGCACAGTGAGTCCGGCTTATCCTCACTACTTACGTCTAGCTCATCTTGTTTATTTTGCTCTACAGACTTCTAGCTCCTCTGCATGGTATCGACTATCTGACTCCCTCCATCGTGGCCCTAGCCGCCAGAAAAGTCTTTCGCCATCGCATTATTGTCACTCCGCCTGGCGAAGACCGCAGTCTGCAGTATGGAAGCAATTTACATGCGGTGTCTGATGTTCTCGCTGATGTGACGCCGGACTCAATACTGGATGGCGTTCTGGCACTCGAGCCACCTCTATGAGATTCCAACGCACATGATTAGCTACTCTTGATTACTGCATTAGATACCCAACCGATAGAGATTCCAAACTTGTGTGCTTATAAAAATTCAATCGGTGGCGTCACATCCCACTATGTCAATTCCAGCATCCGCCTACTGTGGAACCAGCAATTTCGAGTCAGCTTGCGACGGTCATCGGTATATTTAGTCCAAAAATAGGACTACGTGGGCTTACCTCCGTTAACAGATACATTGATGTTTCTAGCGTTAAGTCAAGGCTATACATGTAGATAATCGCGCCAGCAATACACCCGATAGATATTACATATCGAAGCTTTCACCTGCCAGTACTTGGCCTCAACCTCAAGAACAAGTCTGGAGGTGTATACTTCCCATCCGCGCTTCCGTTTCCAGCTTCAGCCTGACCGGGCGTCAAACATAGATCACCGTGAACTGCGCCAGCGGGCTGTGCTCTTAATGCCTCCATGGCTTTCGAGTGCGTGCGCCACTCAGACAAAACAACATCGATTTCAGTCTTGGAGTCACCAGCAATAGCATCCATCTTGATGTCATTTCTGTCGTAGCCAAAGGGATCTTCCAACTGCGAGCCTATTCCCTCAATGCCATATAGCGTGAAGATAACAAGGCTGACAATGGGGATGGCCCACCATCCCATCTCATCGACCATAGCAAATGGTAAAACACAGCCAAACAGAGCGAGGACCTGCTTTTGGTGGATCCTAATTTAACGTCAGTAATTAAAACAAGGCTAACTCAACACGCATTGGAGCCATAAATCTTACAAATGAGCCACTGGGATCGGAGTCAACTTGATCGTTTCCATCCTCCCATATGCATCAGTCAAGGTATTCAACTGAGCCTGCATCTGACTAGCACCTGGCGCAGGATACCACCCACGCTCTTCGCCCCGCTTAATAAACCCATCAATGAAAAAGGTCAGCTGGAAAGGGAGGCCTAGTCCCTCATCTTCATGACCCTCAAGGCCCGCAGGTAGCAGGTTGGCATATTCGGGGTTATAAAGGGTGGATGGATGCACGTTCAGAACCTCGTCGACGGAGTTACCAAAGACCCAAGCAGCGCCCCATTCAGCGCGTAAATGGTTTTTCACGGCATACGGGATAGCCATGAGAATGCGGATAGTACGCTCGATATCCTCACGCTCTGCGGCGGTGGGTGGTCCCCGCTTTGAGTTGTAGCTATTTGTTGCGATTGTGCGGACAAGATTGCGCACGCAGGTGTTCAGTGTATTCATTGCGTTCCGCCCATCCCAGAATCGATTGTAGGATGTTTGGTTGCGGAAGACAAGCATTAGACCTACGACAATAGATAAAGATGGGATCTGTTTTGCAATGTTTAGTTCCTGTCTCGTTTTGTTGATTGGAGAAAACATACGATGGTGCTAGGTAGACCAACAGTCTCGAATACGAAGGTGTCCAAGTAGACAATCAAGGCTGTGAATACAGCATGCAGAAAGACCGGGACTATTATGGCACCATGGATTGCACCTTTAATGAAGCGAAAAACAAGTGGCCATCTGCTCAATATTAGCACATTCGAAAGATCGGGAGATATCGATTACGTAGTTCACCTTCTTGGTTTTGCTCGCGTAGACAGCCGATGGGGATGGGTTCCACGCCGTTGGTGATGGCCTTGTATTGTGGTGTTTTGGCGACTCAAGGTTGGAGTGGGTGGCTCGCTGAAATTTAACCTCATTTTGTTTAGATCTGAACCGATGCAGATCGATTGTGAGGCTGACCTCTGTGGATCTCGGGAGACGGTCGTATTGGGCTCTATCCAACCAAGCCCTCAGATCCGAGAGAGATTGAAATCGGGTCCAGGATGTCAACATTCCAAGGTTGAAAGCGGGTCGACTCTTTGGCTCCGGGCCCACTTGGCGTTTCTAGCGCTATCAATCACGTGGTAGTATATACACCAGTTGGCTATTTCAATGGCAAGTACACAGCCAATAAGGCCTCGAGGGGAGCCATTAATATGAAAGAGGGGTAGGGACAAACTGCGCCTGTTCATTCCACAACTTGACCGCTGAAAAATTATCATGGTCTCCTTACTTGATCTACCAGCCGAGATTCGCCTGGTAATATACACATATTTACTAAAGCCAAATGAATATGTGAAGAGCTATCGAAAGCTGAGGGACCAATGGTCATCAGCAGGCAGTGGTCCCCTTTGCACGATTCCTCGACCTTATGTGAAGCGATATACACCATCTATTCTTCTCCTCAACAAAAAGATTACTATAGAGGCCCTTCACTACCTATATCGAATACCACTCGACCTCTACGGCACTCCCAGCACATATTTCGTCATGCGTCAGATGGATATCACAGAATTCATCAGCGAGCATTATCTGCGGAGAATCCACCATGGTGTTTTACGACTAAATCATGCCAACAAGCATTTTGTGCTTTCGCTCTTAGACACATGGGGTGCCGAAAACCGGCTAGAACGACTCGATGTGTATCGGCCCAAGACTCAACTCGACAGTCAACACTGGAAAGTTGTGGAAAGCAGGGTGAGTTATCTCGTTCGAAGACCTAGGATAACTTCTAATGGCTGTGATAGCTCTGGACCTTCTCGAGTATAGTTCCGGTTGTGTTCCATGAGGTCGATGATCCGCTTAAGGCAAAGGCATCCAGGGCTACCTAGGTATGTAGGCAGACAGGGAAAAGACTGCGGTACGAGTAGACGAGTCAAGCCGAACGTGTCATTGCCTAGTCATGATTAAAAAGAAGAACACCCCAAGGATAACGAAAGAATGTTCCTGGTTCATCAGATGTGTCGAGATTCAAAACAGCAGTCTAGATCTCGAATGGGTATCAGTAGATTTTGGGACAGGGGACAAAGGAGAAAATAGAACGCTGGGCCGCCATGACGAATCAAATTAGATGGAAGAGGTAAACGCTATTGGACAATGCAAACGGTGTACCTGGAGTATGCACCCGAAGAAACCAATGCAGGCATGATAGCTTGATGGTGATATCGTAGAATGCTCAGATGATAACCCCCTACAGGAGGGTAGATGCCAAAAAGAATGATAAATATTTATTATAAAGCTCAAAGCCCTTGTTTTCCAGAAATTAATCCGATCCGAAGCCACTCATTCTGGCATTCCTGCTCGGCCATCAAAGGCCAAAGGGCCCGAGTCATTTCGTGGAGTCAATGGGTTGTCGTCAGATGTCGGCGTGTCGGATCGTAGTTGTGATGGCCGGCCAGCTGGCACACTAAGTGGTTGTGTCGGTTGCCACCCGGGAATATTGGTAGTGGCGCTGCGGGCAAGGTCATCAGAGCTTGAGTTAGGGGCTGGCGAGGCTGAGCTTCGAGTGTCATCCGTTTGCTGGTCGTCTTGTAGATGCAGGTTCTCAACATCGTTGGCCAAGTTTTCTTCTTCAGCGAGATCTCCGAGCTGATCGGGCGGTCCTTGCACGCTGTTCATGTCGACCACTGAAGGCACCTCCGTTTCGGCCTGCTCACCAGAGTCATTGGATGCCCTATCTTCTGCCGGTTCCTTCTCTCGCTTTTCCTCCGGGTCATTCGAGTCGTCGACCTCGGCGCTGAGATCGGTGAATGCACGGCAGTTGGGGCATTGGAACATTGGGTAATCGGGAGAGTGGAGTAAACGACTGATGCATTTGTAATGCCAGACGTGCGCGCAGGCTGCCATGAATAGACACTGGTAGGGCCGCTTCATTATAGTTAGTAGATGCAGATTGACAGGAAAGGAAGGAACGAACCAAGACAGAGCCAAGGCAAATCGAGCATTCACGACAACCCGAATAATCAGCCGTTTCACCCTTGCCCAAGTTTTTGATCAGGCTTTCTGTGTTTTTGCTGGAATAATTGTTAGCGTCACACGACACTCGGGACAAAACGTAGGATCTCACTTGAACTCGTTAGGCTGCTGCTGCCAAGATCGATTACATTCAACCCTAATCCGAACGCATCGGAATATCATTTCTTCTCCCCCTCGGAAGTCGATACCCAACTGCACGATATCGCCGTCTTTGATGGAGTACAGACGGGACACCATATTCGGCTGACTCAAGCGCATGTGGTTCAAAAATGTTCCTGAAGAGCTACCAACATCCTTGATATGCCATTGTCCATTCACGTACAAGAACTCGCAGTGTTTCCGGCTAACAACCTTCGACTTGAACCCCACGGGGGCATCCGAGGGTTCGGTCGGGTTGGGGAGAGGCACGCCATCGCGCTCCGAGTATCGACCGACGCGAATAACACAGCTCTCGGATGGCAGGGTTCGGGCAACTGGGACGAAAGGTAATGAGGGCCTCGAACTCTGGAGGGAGTCTTGGTAGGGAAAGAATCGAATGGTCGCTTTGGTCTCTGATTTCGAGGGAGTCACCTGCCCATCTGCAGGAGCGCTAGTGGGCTCAGTCGCATTACTTTGAGCAGGGCCCGGTTCAGGGGATGGGGTAGACTCCTGGGAGTTGGTTGTAGCACGTTCTAACGTGCGAGGTGGCGGACGATGGACGGCCGAAATACTCCTCAGGCGCGCCATAGAATTGGAGGGTTGGGCAAGATCGTTGGAAGGAGTAGAAGCGGCGGACTCGGTGGAAGATACTTGGCTATTAAGTTCGGTACCAAAGCCGTAACTCGGGGCGGGCGCAGAGGTGTAACGAGAAAGGGTTGGGTGGTCACTTTCAGGACATGGGGAAGTTGTGGAGTTCGTTGTCGGAGAGATGGAGTCCGGATTCGAGGACCGCCAAGGAATTCGACTACTCAAACTGTGTCTATACGAGCGCTGCCCGCTGGGCAAGGACAGATTCTGAGTGTAGGTTCGTAAACTGAAGCGGCGCAGGCGACTGGGGCGACTGTCAGGTAGGGAGGTGGAGGCGGTGACTGAAGTAGACATGGATTCGATTTGGCGACCATGAAAGAATTCAACAGACAATCAAATAGTGCCCAGAGAATCAAGAGGGCACCGTCACAGGTAGGATCTGCAACTGGGCTGATGCTATACAATTGGGGGGGTTTACCAAGGCATCATATGATTAGGGTAAAGGGATGATCTTAGAGGAAATTCGAGAAGGCGAGATGAACAAAGAAGTGAGAGGAAACCCAGCAAATTAGATGAGAGAGATACAGGAGAGTTGGGAAGTTTAGCCCTTTTCGATGAATTGTTTTTTATATACTCTCTTTCTCTCTTGGGGTTTTGGCTATTTGCCATCGGCTATTAATGCCCTGACAGTCAGCATTCCTTGGCGATGCCATTTCCCCGCATACTTATACTAGTAGACGACATATGGAGGTAGTATAGATATGTTTAAAGGAGTATACCTAGGTAGAATACTACTACTATTTATGCAAATCATATAGAGAATAATAGATAATTCATGAAGATAAACATGAAGATAATAATATTCCCATATACTGACTCTATATGCATACTATAGACTGGCATGGCTTAAGGCATATTTAAGCATCCTTACTTCATGTACAACATACCTAGGTAGAAGTAGGATGTATAGTTAAATGGTCCATACTTCCATATAACCATGTATACTCCTTATATACTTCATATTTGTTAGATCTATATTGAAATGTAGAAAAGAGCAAGGAGTTAACTAAAAGAAACTAGTCTGAATTATATTCCCATCCTACTCTGTAGCATTCCGTGTGATACACTTTAGTACAGATTCTGATATCCAAAGATTAGCACTAACATGACCCTATCCAGATGTGACTCTATCTGGTGATCATCTGCGTCACTTATAGAATCACAAGAGCAAAGGTGCTGTCTTCATTGGTGTATAGTGTTGCACGGACCCTAAGGGAAGTGCACGTTAGACTGAGTAGGTAAAAGGGCGATATGTTGATATAAGAAGTATTTTACAGAGTAGAAGCAGTATATAGATATATACATGTTGTACAACATACTATTGTACCTACCTACATGTAGGTATTGTACCTAGGTACTTCGCAGGTGCAGGTTGATCCCCTTTGCCGGATTGGTCAGCACAGAGCTCCCCCGGGCCCCCGGGGCCGATGATGTATGTGTTGGAGCTGTTGCTTGATTAAGATGGAAAAATGATTGTTGAAACCATCATTCGGAGATAGTAAATATCATATAGAAAAAAAAAGAAGAAGAATAGTTAGATAGAAATAGTCAATTTGATAGATGTATAATATAGAAAGCCATTTAATCTCAAGTTTCTGCCTGAGGAGACTAGTTCGATCTCTCCCCCTCCCTTAATGAAACGCTTGGAACTTCCTTCCTTCAAGCATCAGGAGGCTTCCCTCCAAAAGTGACCTCTTTTTTTTATCACGCGGCTTTTTGTGTTTCCTTCCAAAGCTTCGACTTTATTCGACTCCCTTAATCCTACCTTTCCCGTCTTTCGCATCCCTCTCCGACCTCACCAGACCGCGCCCGATGCGGGCCTGCTAGCCAGCATGAGTGGAATTGCGACTGCCTGTCTGTCTTGCTTTTCAGCAGTAGATCGATGGTGTCATATTACAGCATGTCTCGGTCCCATCGGAGGTCGCTCTCGAGACGGTATCTACGAAACCACCCTGGCCGATAATGAGCGAGAAGCGGTATCAGATCTTCTGGGCTACTTGGAGAACGTACGTGCTGGACAATTCATCATTCTACATCGCTACCTTTCCCTTCCCTGAATCAGAGTCTGATACTTGGTCCGCATTCACTTGGGTACCGCCATGCCTCGAGCATACCGCTAACTTTCAACAATGTACAGCGCGCGGAGACCGACTTCTTCCACGGCGAGCCACTGCGAGCCTTGAGTACCCTGGTTTACTCCGAAAACGTCGACCTGCAAAGAAGCGCTAGCTTGACCTTTGCTGAGATCACAGAACGAGGTACGTATCGCCGCCTGGATGGCGATGATGCAATAGCTGACCTTTCATCTTATCTCCAGATGTGCGCGAGGTCGATCGCGATACCCTCGAACCTATCCTCTTCCTACTTCAAAGCTCAGATATCGAAGTTCAACGCGCTGCTAGTGCAGCGCTGGGAAATCTCGCCGTAAATGGTTGGTCCCCATCTTCGTCACTTCCTTTCCCCGCTTTCCACATAGTCACTAACTCGGTGCAGGTGAGAACAAGGTCCTGATCGTCACCCTCGGGGGGCTGTCTCCCCTGATTCGCCAGATGATGTCACCCAATGTTGAGGTACAGTGCAATGCGGTTGGATGTATAACCAATCTCGCGACCCATGAGGAGAACAAGGCCAAGATTGCTCGCTCTGGCGCTCTAGGTCCTCTCATTCGCCTGGCCAAGTCGAAGGATATGCGTGTCCAGCGAAATGCGACGGGCGCATTGCTCAATATGACCCATTCGGGTAAGCGATTTGGATTGATACATCTGGAAAAAGGCTGTTTCCCTAACATGAAGACCAGATGACAACCGACAACAACTTGTCAATGCCGGTGCCATTCCCGTGCTCGTGCACCTCCTCTCATCACCCGACGTAGACGTTCAGTACTACTGCACAACGGCTCTTAGCAATATCGCCGTTGACTCGACCAATCGCAAGCGACTCGCCCAAACCGAGTCGCGCCTCGTGCAATCATTGGTTCATCTTATGGACTCATCCACCCCGAAAGTCCAATGCCAAGCAGCGCTCGCCCTGCGCAACCTCGCCTCTGATGAGAAATATCAGCTTGAAATCG